TATAGCACTGTTACTGTTCCTGCTGCTGCTGCTGCATCTCGTTCCCCCCCACAGGAGCCAAGACAGCGGGCTCGGCTTCGACAGACAGCGGAAAGGTACGACACCGCCGAATAGGGGACAGGCTGTTCAGCTCGGTGTATCGGGCTGCCGACGGAGGCTGTGGATGAGCGAATCGCGTGCGAGTGGCAGCGGAGGAGCCGCATCGGGCCTAGCAGGAATGGTGATTGACTGGGCGAAACGTCGGCCGTCCGGGTCTCTGGGCATGACAGTCTTTGCAGACAGAGAAGGACTCGTCATCTCCGGAGGATCGAATGGAGGAGAAGACGACAGCGGTCGATGCACTTGGCCCGCAGAATGCTGTTGCTGTTGCTCCTGCTGCTCCTGCTGCAGTTGCTGCGCCTTCGAAGAACCGCTCGAAGAACCGCTGGAGCCGGTGGGTGAATCCGGTCGGATACCCATTTCGAATGGATGCCACCCGTTCTGGGCCTTTCCCTCTGCGATCGCATCGCGAGCTTCTTTCGAGATGTCGAGAACTCCCTCAAGGATAACGGGCTGGCCCTGGATGACCTGCTGTCCGACACGCTGTGGTCTGGTGGCACTAAAGCGCTTCTGTCTGCTCCGCCGGAATCGAGGAAGGAGGCTGGTGATGGTATCCATGAAAGGAGATGGGCCTGCGCTGAACCAGACATCAGGCGGATACCCGAAACTTGGCGCATGTCTGACAATGGGTACAGGAGAACAATTTGATCCCGCCGTTTTCGTCGGGACCTGACGAAGTGCCCCAAGACGAGAGAGAAGTCGCATTGTAACGCCGCAGTTTCTGAAGCGAGGAAGACAAGTGGCATTGGTGTACAGAATGTTACGTGAGGCCTAGGGCTGCACATGAAGGGCATGGATGGAGCGGGATGGTGCACGCACAGATAATACATATGGATACAGACTCTCATCACACCTCCTCTACTACTACTCGCGATCCATGAGATCCGGTGTCGAAGCACAGGAGGAGATTACTCACTTCGCCATTGATGATGTCGTGAATGGACGCCTCCAGTGCATCGACGCGCGTCGACATCTGAGACACTAAGGAGGACAGTGAGAGAACATTCTCGGATGCAGAATACCGTAACGCGCGCGCACTTCTTTCGAGGATCTGGCTCGACATCTCATCGAACTTGGTATCCAACTGCTCGAGAAGCGACTCCACCTGGCAGCAGGGGTAAGAGACATAAGCAGGGCAGCAACCGTCCACTCCTCACGAAAGCTGTCAGTTCGTGGGGACTCGATATGTCCCCTGGGCCGATTGACGTCTTTGGGGCGTTCGGTTTGCTAGCGGGTGCAGGGGGAGTCTGCCCGCGCTCGCCCGATTCAGGGCTTTTGGCAGGAGTCGACGGCGAAAACTTGAGAGGTTGGGCAGAAGAAGCCATCTATCGAGAACACACGCGTGAGTTCCCGACAGACGCGGCGACAGAAAAACGCGAACGTAAATACACCGATCGAGGATCAGAGCGAGAAGAGAGCTAGAGGGTGTTGCCACCGCTTGGTCAGCGGAACAGTTGCGGCAGAGTCACATGACTCATTGACACCTCGATTCCCATTTTCTTCCATCCAGGCCAAGTCCTGCGCCTTCCCCTGCGGGCAAGTTCCCGTCGGGAAGCTCCAGATTGCTAAGAGCGATTCACCGGCAAGTCGCGGCTCGGGTTTTGCCCATGCAATGGGGTGAACGGCCCGGCGCTCAGGCAGATGTTCCTCGCACGGCTGGAGGGATAGATGATAGATGAGATCCAAATCTGCGCGCGACGAAAGGCCTGAGAGGATTGAAAAAAATTCAAAGTCCGACCCACCTACATCGTCTTCGATTTCCCAAACCTGAAAGGACATGGGAATGTATGTTTCTGGTTGTTCTGCTTACAACCGAGACACCGGACAGCTGATGCGACACTTTAAAAAGCTTATTTCCACCGAATTCCCGGGCCTCATGCTTGTTGAACCCCAACACATAATTGCGGCGAATCGAGAGAGGAAGGAGAAGAGACTTGTTGTGCCCTGAGAATACTCTCGGCAGGCGCCACAGCAACAGCTGTTGCAGCGGACATGAAAACGGACTCTTTGGCATCTGATGAACGGCAGACCCTCAAAGATGCGCGTGGATACGTGCAGAAAATAACGGTGCAAGCCGAAAATCCAACTCTGGGATAAACAGTACTGCAAGTTCGACCGTCAACCAATGCACTGTGCTCGGATTCTGCCGCCGCTGAAAGCCCAGATCCAGACGCAAAAGAAGGAACTGGATTGCGAATCTGGTAGATACGAGACGTTGTCCTGGAATAGTCTGGACTACGGTGGGAGTTGGAAAAATGGTTATCTATCACAAGGCTTGCGTAGATCGCGAGTTTTCCGCCCAAGCGCCGCTGAGCTGATAAGACCAGCAGCCATCGTTGTTTTTCCGGGTATAACAATTTCGGGGGTGCCTATACTGAGATAAACATGAGCGATCACCGCCTCCAACAGTTCGAGTCGAATCTGCGCTGGGCGTGGTAGGGAAAAGAAGAAAAAACCCACCGTCGGCAGACGAAACCGCTATCATATCATATGTCGGTGACACCGCCGGAGCCTTTGTCTAGGTTCACCTGCACATTCCAGGAAGTTCTATTGCGGAGATTCCAAGGAGAAATGGGTGCTGCTGGCCGAGGGTGTGGGGGCCAAGGATGAATCAGCCAGCCCGGTCGACGCCACGGGAAGCCGGTACGTCCCGATCAGCGACTTGTACGTTTTGGACGAGCAGGTGCGCGGCCTGAATAGTCGAGCGTCGCCAGTGAAGGGGCAGTTGTGCATCTTCTGATCTTCGATCACAGACGTTTCTGAGCACTGTCACCATTGGGACGCGTGTGTGGAACTGACCCAGCCCGTGCGGCTGGAAGCCGCCGTGTCAGGCAGACCGTGCGTGCATTTCCCTGGAGGGCGGATCCTGACCTGACGAGGCCGAGAAGAGAAGGATCGACGCATGCAGAACAGACAAGAGGCAATGTAGATCTCTGCACGTCCTATCCGCCAAAATCAGGCTCTATCGTCCCTGTATGAGGCTGCAGGGGCAGGATCCGAGTTCTGCCAGCCCGCAACCAATCTGGCAACAGCATTTATTTTTAAGCGCAAGGATCTGCGAGAATCACTGGATTGCAGGAGTCAGGAGAAAGATTTTGGCCGGTGCGGCTTGCATGCGACCCTGCGGACGTGGATGCGCGAAGTCTGGGAGGGAAGCCTCAGGATATTCCACATGGGAGGGCGTCGGGTGCGGTATGACCGCATGTCACGTGGGATCACCCGGCCCCCGATCCCTGAAACGATTTCTCTCCCATCCACATCGTTACCGATGGCCCTAACTCTCCAGTCAACCCGCAAGGTCGCTCCACCGGAAATCTCCCGCTCGATCCCCGAGAATCTGACGCTGCCCAGTTGAACGACGGAAACGAGATACCCATCTTGGGTTTCGGTGCGTTTTGTGAGGACAGGTTGATCCCGCGAAGGATTCTCAACCCCATTTCTCAGGAACATACGAGCTGGATGGCAGGGAAGCATACGATGCCGTTACTTGGGCTCTCGAGGCGAGCCTGCGCTCCCTTCCCCCGGGGCTTGTTTCTTACCACGACAGGTTCTAATCTCCCAGGCTGGGTATCGTCACATCGTACGTCGCGACGAGCTGAAGAGCCCTCAGAACTCTTAAATCTCGTAGGACTCCGCAACCTGGTATGAAAATGAACGTGAGGTCGGTCAGGCCATCCGCGATTTCTGCGAATCGACCGGCACACCACGCTCGGCGATCTTCTATACCACGAAACTGAAGCTCAACGACGGGTACGAGCCGACCCTGAAAGCCATACAATTTTCACTCGACGAATGCGGCCTCGAGTACATCGATTTATACCTGATCCATGGGCCCCTCGGCGGCCCTGCAGCGCGCAAGGAATGCTGGAGGGCCATCTGTGATGCGCAAAAAGAAGGCAGGGTCAAGAGCATCGGCATCAGCACCTTTGGCGTCCGCCACATCAAAGAAATTCTGGAGATGGGTCTCGCGGTACCGGCAGTCAATCAGGTGCGCCCTGTCGGCCGCTTTTTTCAAGCATCGACTGATCAGTCATACGAGATCGACCTGCATCCCTTTATGATACGCACTGAGATCGTCAACCTCTGTCATGAGCACGGAATATCGTTGGAGGTATTCACCAATCTTCTGCGTAATCTCGCCTCTCTTCATCCGTCATCTAGGCTTGGGCCCCTCTGGTGCGCGGTCTACGATTCAAGCACCCTTCTATTGTCTCGCTGGCCAAGAAACATCACAAAGAACCAGCGCAGATCCTTCTCCGCTACTGCCTACAAAAGGTGGGTGCTCCGTTTGCCAGTCTTTTTATCCGTCGACACGGGAAATTCGCAGGGCTATATCGCTATCCCCAAGTCATCGTCTCGCGCACGAATCGCTTCAAATACGAATATTTTCGATTTTGCGTTGGATGAGAAAGAGGTGGCTGATCTAGATGCTCTCGATGAAGGTGCGCCTGATTCTCCCGGGCCGCCATGTTCCCACACACCGTCTGCAGGACTTGTGACGGACTGGGATCCCACCGAGTGTCCTTGAATATCTTTGCCTTTCAATTGCGAACCGCGCACCGAATGGAATAATATACTTCCGGCGATATCTGATTGCGGAAAATAGTTCTCAAGCGCGGTCTTCATCGCCACAGAGATCGACACCCATATAAGCTCTCCCGGAGCCAACTTGCTCCCGGAGTGGTTATCTGATCATGATCCAATGTCACGCGCCTACTTATTGGGCCCATTTCCATGTTTCACCGTGCTCACGGTTGCGGAGAGTTTGCCTTGGGATGTCTAACAAACTTGACGTTGCGCCTAACGAGCTTCTTATGGTGGTGGCTGTGAATCTTTGACTTGCCCGTTGTCCTGCTACCCAGGCACATCGTTGACAATGCGTTTGCCGCCCACTTACGGCCGACGAGCCCATTCGGGTATGTTGTCATCCCCCGTATTCTCCCCTGAGCACGACGTCCTGCGATTGCCAGAGCCTCGCGTTGTCGTCGAGGCTGAGTTTCATGAAGAGTCTCTGTCACGGCACTGGTACCGGTCTCATATCGATGTTGCCAATGCATTTTGTGGCCGGACCGACTGCGTGATGGACGTATGACGACATATACAATCCGGATTTAGCGATGTCTTAACTGCGCCAAACGACTCTGATGCGCCGACTAGATAAGCGTGCAGAGTTTCATCTCTAAGAAGGATCGAGGCCAACTCGCACAACAAGCACCGCGCAGGGCTTCGTATTGAACAGACGCCCGAGAGCGGGTGAGGGTCGCCGGATCGATTCGACCTATCTCGTCGCAGCCCTGCACCTGTTGGATCGCTGTTCTATTCATACCGTCCGTGTCTGCAGGCCCTCGTGCTGCAGGCGTGCAGTGCTGCCGCGAGCGTCCACGGGACGCGCCGCACGGCGCGACTCCCCAGTTGTGGGCTCATCACACACGCGCGCACGTTGCGCGTCTGACATTGACGTGAGACAGATTGCGCCGAGACGCCGACGGCGGCTGTCGTCTTCTTCCCTGGGCTCACGACTCAAGACGCCTTTTTGAGACTCTCTCGGCATGGGACATACATAAAGGGCATATTGCCGAATAAGGAAACCGAACCGGGTCATGGGTCGTGATGGGTCCCACTGCCCTTGATTAAGACGGCCTGACAGCATGCAGCTCGCATTCGGATTGGAAGCCCCACGTCACACGTGCCCGGCTGGCTGAGCAAGTGATGCGGTGCAGGCACTCAAATAAATTGGGGCTCGGGCCGTCTGACTGGCAGCGTCGTTCCAGGTCCATGATGCAACGCTCACAAGGCTGTAGTCTAAACATATGGGACACGTCTGCGAGATCGATTGCAGCAGCAGCAGCAACGGGCCGGGGGCAACATGAGCACGGACGCTGATCTGCGCCTGTGTGTCATCGCCCGTTGGCAGCTTCGCGAGAGGAGAATCTCAAGAATAGATGCAGCCCATGATTTCGCTTGCAATAGGCCGGCAGACAGTAAGGGACCACAGAATCTGGGTATGAAGAACTATTACATGCGTGCTCGGATTTAGCCTTGACACTTCCGAGTCATCCGGAGGGGACACGGAAGCGTTTCGATCGCCAGTCGCACAGCGGGTGTGCGCTGGGGGCGCTGGTGAAGGAGCTGGGAGGTGCTGGGCCGGGGTCCGAGCGGGGGAGATGATTGCACTGGACGGAGAGTGAGTCGAGATCTGCTGAAGAAGCGCTTTTTGCTGCCCGATGTGCATCGAGTGGTGTGTGTCAAGTGTGTGAAAGCGGCGTTTCTACGGTTCTGCGTCCGAGAAAGAAAGGAAGATCAGATTCATGAGATTGCGAGTTGAGGCCGGCATAAATGGTACACACCCGCAACTCTGTCCCAACAACGATTGTCCGACAACCTCAAACTTAACCGTGCCACCATGAGCTCGTCGCAACCTACCGATGTCCCGCCATTCTTTGGCGCGGTCGAAACAACGATGAATGCGCTCCGACTCATCCACGCCGCTCGACAGGGCGTCATCCCCAGAATTACCCGGCGTCTCAACGATGCCGAGCGACGCACCATGATCAAGAGCGGCGCGGTCTTCGTCTTCAGCGTCGAGGAGAGTGGGATCAAACGATGGACAGGTGTGTGTCCGACACGTTCATCTCACCCTCTGCTTCTCCGCTCACCACTGCACCAGACGGCCTCTTATGGTCTCCGTCGCGCATCGTCGGGAATTTTCTGGTTCGCGTCCCCAGCCTGCGTCTCTCTCACCCATTGTCAACATTCGCCTCCAGGTGTATCGCGAAATCAACGAGCGGAGCAACAGCCGGGGAAGCCACAAGAAGCTCTACCCCAGCGACGAGCAGTCTCGTGCTTTGGCTGTGGGTCGTAGCCCGCTCAGCTATCGCAGTGCACTCACAGACCTCACCGCGCAGTCCAACGAACACGGGACATTCAAGCACAACGGCCTCATCAAGAAGGTGCGCGCGCCTCCTGCGCTGTCCGCCCGCCGCTCGCTCGCTGACACGCGACCTCCTAGACCATCACAGTCACCATCGAGGGATCCGACCTCCATCTCATCTCCTACTACACATCTGTCGACCAGCACTCCGGCAAACTGAAGGTGGATGGATTTTCCTCGCCAGTGATCGCACGCGCCGTGGCTCACATTGCGTTTCCCAGCGACCGAGCAGTCGGCCAGACATCATGGGCCTCCCAATGGACCCGCGGCTCTTTCGCGCGACCAACTTCCGAGTCCCGCCCAAGGTGGAGAAGGGCCCCGACGGAATTTCGCGATTAGTGTGAGTGTCGTCGCCGGGTTCGAAACCGCGACCCGCCGCTGACGCCAAGTTGAACAGCGAGACGGAGGATCCCGACGTCGTCGAGTGCAAGGTCGAGGACGAGTCGTACAGCCTCTCTGTTTCGCCGAGCTCCTGGGGGTCTGACGGGAGCAGCCCCGGTTCCCCTGTGGAGAACTCCTTCGGGAGTGCAACCGCGCTCTATCCCAGCGTCTCGGCGGCCTCATATCCCCGGGTGGGCAGCACAGATCGCTGGGCGGTGTCCACGGTCCCGACTTTGCGCCCGGACACCTGGTCGCACCACTACTCCTCCGCAAGCCGGCGCGAGATGGGCGGCGGCGGCCACTCGGACTCGTCGTGGAGCCTCTCCTCCGCCCGGTGGCACGGGGACGCATACCAGTCCCCGCCCTCCCCGACGTCGAATGTCTACGTCGACAGATCCCGCACGCGCTCAACGAATCCATACCCGACCCCGCTCCAGATCCCGAGTCGCAGGGATGCCGATGCAGCCGTGTCGCGCTACGGCGGGGGAGCGGAGAGCCGCAGTCGGCTGCCGTGGCTGCTGAGCGGCGAGTCGACAGAGGGCGGCAAGGACGTGTCGAGGGGGTATTCTGTGCCGTCCGTCGCGCAGGGCTCGATCTACTCCTCGCCTGCGACATATGTCCGACCGATGTCGTCTCACGGCTACGGCTCAAGTTGGTCCACCGCAAGTTCAAGTTCGCTCTCGATCTCGACGTCGCCGCAGGCGACATTCTCGTCTCCGTCGAGTCTCGGCTCATTTGGTTCCGCGTACACCTCCAGCTCTGGCAGCCCCGAGGACTATTCAAATACCGATGATTACGGAGAGTCGTAGAATTGCAGACACTGGATCGCTCGTCTTCTTGGAAATTGCCGGATGCTCTCTCACTGTATTTTAGCCCCTGTTTTTTTCTCATCCTCTCGCTCGCATAATCTCTGCTGTGTTTCTGGTCGTTGTCATTAAAATATAGCGAATATAGATTTTTTACCAGGGAAATAAAAACTAAGCTTTCCGGCCGATTCGGATTGACAGGTCACCGACGAATGGGAGTTGCAGTCCGAGGCACATCTCGATGGGGTTTGTTCGCGAGGTGATGATCGACCGCACGCGTCGGGGTCTCGTCCGGGGAGCAGCGATTGGCTGGTGCGCAGCGATTGGATGGTTCCTAAATCCATTGACTCCAGACCTGAGGCGCACGTCAAAGCATAATCGGAGAAGGCCGAGGCAAACCGTCGGAGCACAGGGCAGCGCAAAAGAAAAGTTCTTGCATCTTCTCCAGAGCTTCCGAACGATCGTCCTGGACCTCGCGTGTGTCTCTGTGCTTCGTGGCCGCCCCAGAGGTTTTTTTTCGAGCGCGTAACACCACCAACAGGTTGCCACAACTGTCCACGGCAACAAATTGACATCGTGTCCGAAAAGGACTGTCCCATGTCCGGCATCTTCCACAAAAGGAGGGGGATCTAATGACACATTCTGAAACTAGCTCGCAAGAGTCATACCGATTGAAATGCGCACCATTAATCACAGAACTTGAGGGACGAGGTAAAGGAGCTGGCCCCCCCATTCTCGCGCGTGCCTTCCCTGGCGATCTGATCTCTGGAGTCCTCGCAGTAGACGACTCTGCGAGAGTGCGGACTTGGCGCGACGCGGTGAGATCGGAGGACCAGTCAATCATGTTCTGTTTGTTGCGAGACGTTAGGTAACGTCTTGATCTGGATTTTTAGCGATTAGAAAATTAGGTTTCTCAGTAAACTACTGACTTTAACACGATTCCGTCAGGTCTCGCGCTCACTTAACATGGCCCCGGATGCTGAAATTCGAGACAAACTTTGAAAACCGGAATCCCAACTTTCGAGGGAACACGCTCCTCCGAGGGAAGGGCCAAAAGCAAGTGGGCGAAAGCAATGCGGACGGACCAGCGCTGAATCAATCAGTCGGCTGGGATCGGGCCTTGCGTGTGGAAACGTGGGAAGCATCTCCGGGTGGTATTGTGGGGAAAGAACATCTCGAAGAAGACTGGCACGGATTGAAAGGAGTGAGAGAAGCACACCCAGGTCAACGGACGGCCGAGTCAGCGCGGCTGGACAGGCGTGTATGTACCTTGAACTGCCATAATGCTGCGATCTTTCACCATGGGGTTATGGCATTCGTGCTCCATTCACTTCCAGATAATCACCTCGGGGCACCACTCGTCCGGTGATTTCATGAGTGGGTTGAGTAAATCGAGCCAACGCCTTGCCAGAGCTTCCGTTCTTGATTCGTGCGGGCTGCCTCCGTGTACTGCACCTGCTGTTGACGCTTATTCAGACCGTAAACATCGCAAATTAAGACGTCCTGACTCGCGAAGAATGAAGCCATCCGTTCTAGGAACGTCACCTGCATAGAGTTTGCGAAGAACGAATCTAAGGGAATTCAGCGGCCATGTGTGTTCTGAAAAGAGATAGGCTGCGAGCATCCAGCGACTCACAAATAGAGTAACTCTCGCGCCACTTCTCAAAGCAGCTCGACGATCCAGATAAGTATATCGGCAGTGGGGAGTCAAATTCAGCAGTAATCATGCGAAGACCCCCCTGGTTAGTCTTCGCTTGCGTTTCGTTTTGGTTTTCCGGAGAGTAAGTGCGTCGAGGACTTCCCTTGTCAGCAAATTAATGGGACCCGAGCTTCAGGGTCGCGTGATAGAGATGCCGATGGGAAAAATGCAGAGGAGACGAATAAGTAGCTAGTCGTTTGATGAAGCGAACGGCGCTGCAAGAAACCGGGGGGAGCGCCCATCATCGCGGGAAGAGAGTGACAGAACAGATCATACGCGTGACCTGATTGACACGTGTGGGCGGGCAAAACCCGAGTCTGATCCAATGATCTTATCTTATCAGCCTGCTCCCCAACCCAAACAGCGCCCATCATCTGACATGTCGCGTGTTTTGCTGTAACCCGAGCTGATCGAAACCACTCCTCCGAAATGGCTACATCTCTTCCGTGCTGTCGATGTCGTGATTTCATGGGACCTAGACGCGCTCTCGTATCGCGCAATCAGTATTCTTTGCCTGGACAAGATGAATCGGCGGACGTGGGATCGTAGATGCAGAACATGTTTACTGCGTGATTTTCGACCTGGGAGGTGCCAGAGTCGTGCAGAGCATGCGTTTCCGGATACCCCAGCCCGGCTCTGACAGAACTGCACATGGAGCAGCCTATACAAATGCGCAGCCAAGCACAGCGGGACCTGGGCCCCGAAATTTCGCCGTGCACGAGAATATCGGCCAGTCGAAATTTTGGTATATTCGGCGAATCGAGCGCTCAGTTGGGGTGGTCTTCGCTTCGCCCGGATCTTCAGAAGCAGAAGCCGCGCAGAAAATGTGGTCTTCTGCTCTGCGCTGGACATGTCGATTGAATGCAAGTCCCATCCCACCTGGTCCACGTTCCAGCCCAATTCTGCAGGAGTCATTCAATACCCTCGTATGGGCACCCGGCAGTAGCAAGGCTTATCGCCGCTATCTATGGAGACTGGCGGATGTTCCGTGGCAGGAGACTTGGCGATACGTCTGCGATTCGCTCTATCGCAGCGCATTGACGTCCCAGTCCTGTGGGTGACGCCATAGACGATCGCAGCTGCATTTAGGTCTCGGATCGCTCGCACCATGAAAGCACCGGAACGGATACCCAGATTTGGAACACGGAAGTTGAGTGAGTGCGGTTGTGTTCCGGGCCCAAGCATCCTTCCGGATCTGCCAAGACGGGAGATTAGGCTGACATTCCAGTCAACGATTGTTCCGGAGTCTGCAGTCTTGGATACAAGTCTGAATCAGAATGCGTCATGGAATCAGAAGTTGAACCAAGAACATGCGCGTTCCAAAACGGTCACCCTGGAAGTTTGAACGGCTTTCGACTGCGCTGTGCGGCTATCGCCGCATTCATGACATATCATTCTATATCATCACAGGTGGAACGTTTTGACCAGCAAAATCACTCAGGTTGGTCACTATTTCCATTATCCCGTAGGCGAAGGGACGCACGAGATATCAGAACCCTTCAGATTCCGCTCTGCATGGCATTCTTATGAAGACCGGAAGCGTGAGATCCAGGAACTTGGTTCTCTCCATCGTATGTCGCGCTGGGAAGTGACCAGTGGAGGCATCTGCAGCACCTCGAGATTTGTCGAAGCGGACGCGGAACACTCCGAGATTGATCTCATCATCCAAACAACACCATCAGCGCTCCCGCCGTCTGCAGCCTCCTTCGCTATACACACATCACTACTCCCCCACCCGGCACATGGCTCGCTTCAGTCAAGAGAACCTCCGCAAAGACCTCCTCGCCGCTCTCCTCGAACTCGTCGGCACTACGCTGTTTCTGCTTCTGGGACTGGGCGGGATTCAAGCTTCGACGCGTGAAACACTCGCAAGCCCGCACGGCGTGTCGGATGTGCAGCAAGTGATGTACGTGTCGACGTGCATGGGCTTCTCGCTGGTGGTCTGCGCGTGGATGTTCTTTCGGTAATGCCTCTTCTGTCTGTCGCGCCCTCCCATGTCCCCCCTTGCTCCTCGCGCGACTGAATGCTCGTCTCATCCTCGTCTTGCCCTGTGCAGTATCACTGGAAGTCTCTTTAATCCGTGTATCACCGCATCTCTAGTCATGCTTGGCATCCTACCTCTGTTCCGCGGCTTCTTGTACTGCATCGCCCAGTTCGTTGGCTCCATCGCCGCGGCAGCCATCCTGCGAGGACTCACGGGCCCGCTCACCGTCAAGTCAGTCTCTGCGTCCCTCTCAAACCCCTGCAAACACCCTCAATCACTCTAGCACCGTGCTCAACCCCGAAACGAGTCGCACCCAAGGCCTGATCATCGAAATGTTCATCACCTGCGCCCTGGTGATCGCGGTCCTGATGCTCGCTGCTGAGAAGCACCAGGCCACCGCGTTTGCCCCTGTGAGTCACCCTAGGCGTTCCGTCGCTTGTTCGTTCCTTGAAGCTGCGGGTGCAGGTCGGGATTGGGCTGACCTTGTATTCATGCCACTTGTATGCTGATGATGCGTCCGGTCGGGCTACCCGTGTCTCTATTGATGATCCGGCAGGTTCGCTGTTAATTACACGGGGGCCTCTATGAACACCGCTCGCTCCTTCGGGCCTGCTGTTATCTCCGGGTTCTCCTCGTCGGACCACTGGATAGTAAGTGGTGGTAGTGGCGCTTACTGATCGCCTGTCCCGATGAGGCTGATCTGTTCAAGTATTGGGTCGGACCGTTCATGGGCTCGGTGCTTGGGAGCGCTTTCTACGCAGCGTGCAAGCAGTATGTTTATTATTCTGTCTGGCGATTAGGAGGAGCCCCTCTGAACTGTACTCAAGCTACAAGTACTGGACGCTCAATCCGCACCAGGACACGGACGACTACACGAAATCGCCTGACAACCCAGTGATCATCGCGAAGGCGATCATCGAGGAGCGGAACCTGACTTTGAATCCGCGCGTGATCGTGAATCAGATATCTGACCGTATTCCCAAGTTGAGCATTCCCTCGGGCAGTGGCTCCTCAAGAGGCAGAAGCAACTCGACTCTGGTCGAAGAAGGCGGCGTCCCGAAGACGTGAGCGTGCGTGGACTGATGGATGGGCTTGGAAGGATTCGGCGGACTCGGTCATTCTATCTATGTAGGTAGCTCATGTGACAAGCAGTCAGTGGTAGCCTGACCGGATTGTACTTGCTTGGCCTTGATCGCTCTCTAATCACACGCTCTCTCTGATGAATGGGGCCTGGCTCTCGTTCTGCGGCGGACCATGTGTGTGCTGCACTGGCTGGCGGCGGAGACAATGTACCTCGTTTGGGTGGTCCTGCAGCAACAGATGCGCGCTCTAATTATAAATGCTTGATTCATCGGGCCGCAAAGCAGCAGAGCTAATAATGGCCATGAGTTGCATTGCATGGTTTTCTCCCATTTCAAGCGAGGTCATTTGCCGGCGAAGTCGGCGCACTCTAGTAGTGGATGTGAAGAGCCTGCTTTCGTCCGCTGCGGGGCCTGAAGGTGGCGATTCCGGCTCGCGGACACGGGTGGTTATAAGCCAGCAGAGGCCATGCAGATCGCTAAGGCCTCCGATGCATCGTCGTCTCTTCTACTCTGCTACTGCGGCTCTGCTCGTCAGCGCTGTGCTCGCGCGGCCCATGGCCAATGAGACCGCGACGAAGACCACCCCACTCGCTGCCGCCGCCGCCGCGCCGCCCAACTGCTTCCCCGCGATAGGTCGGCTGCGTCGAATCGCGCGATCTACGCGTCGCTCATCACTGCACACAGGATTCAACATGCCGGCGAGTGTGCCCAACTCTCTGAACAACTGGTGGTGCGACTACGCCTCGGAATACGCGTTTGTCGGGTTCAGCTACGAAGTCACCGCATGTGCGTAGCCGCCCCTTTTTGGGGGTCCCTGATGTTGAATAAGTATATATGAACATTTGCGCTCGGCAGGCCAGGATCGCGGGACGCTTGTGTCGGAGTTCACAGACATTCGCCAGACGTTCAATGGTCGATACGTCCGGCTGTACGGCGCGTGCGATCGGACTGGTGCGCGTCCCCTTCCAACTGTGGTGGGTGTCGACGCTGACGATGACATCGGTGAACAGGATTCTAGTGAGTCTTGGAAGGGATGTCGCCTTCTCTGGAAGGCGTTGCTGAGGTCTTCCAGCGACGATGTGGTCGAGGCAGCATGGGAGGCCGGAAGTGAGCGTCTGATTTCCATAAACACGGTCGAACACCTTCGCTGATCGGAACCTGCACTTCCCAGTCGGCGTGCACGCTCTCATCTGGGTAAGTCCGAGCGTCCACTTCTTCTGCGCGCGTCGATCGACTGACGCGCACGGCCCGGTCGCAGTTTGGATTTGACGGAGGAAACCAGTGGAAGGCGCGCCGGACTGCGCTGTTCAAGACCCTGCACTCGAACCCCAAGGCCAAATTCGTGACCCGGGCACTGCAGTTCGGAAGCGAGCCGCTGTATGATGGGGTATGTACGCTCTTCCTTCCCTTCCCTGTTCTTCCCGAGGCATTCGACGGCTGACTGCGCAGGTTCTGAGCGAGAGCGACCTCGCCAATCAGGTTCTCGCAGCGAAGGCGAATCTATCCGGTCTCGGCATCCCGGTGACGATCTCGGAAATGGCATATGGATACCAGGCGCGTTCTTTCGCCTCGCCGCGGCTTCTTGGTTTGACTTACCCGGGAGGGCGGGTGATAGTCCAACGGTGGTGCCCAGGACGTGCTCGACGCGATCGACATCATTGACGCCCACATGCTTCCGTTTTTCTCTACCAAAGCCAGCACAGGTGCGCAGCGGGGCCTCCGAGGCTCGTCTCTCTCGAAGCTCATCATGTGTTCAGGAAGCAAGTCGTGGCCGATTGTGCTCACGGATCTCGATTGGTTCGTCGCGAACGGGGAAGGGAAGAAGATATATTTGACAGAGGCAAGCCACGAACAAATTCGTGCCAAGTATAGGATGATCTGACGAAAAAAAATCTGTCAGAACGGATGGCCGTCAACGGTGGGATGCGACATCATGGAGCGCGCGTGATTGATATGCACGCTCGAACAGACATACGACGGCGTGTCGCCCAACTCTCCTTCGGCCGTCGCGAACGTCCAAAGTGAACAGGTGCCCAAATAATTAAATACATTCACCGCGATCAACAGTTCACTGATTGATTCGTCGTCCTCTAAATCCAGCAATATTACAAGGTTCTCGATCAGCACTGTTCGTACTTCAAGAACGTCCCCAACGGCGGTGGTTCCGTCGGTTGGTTCTGGCACATATACAGCGACGGTGAGCGCCATCTCCCACCTTCCAAGCCTATTGCAACTTCTTAATCCCGTCGCAGATATGGAGCCTGGCTACGGTCTGTACAACACCAACGGCAACCTCAAGTTCCCGTTCAGTCCCCAGACTTCTTGCTAATTTAGATGTTGAATTGGCGGTGCATCATCTTTTAATAGGGGTATTTCGTTTCCAGGGTGGCTGCTCATTGAATCATGACACTACTTTTATTGGCAATATATCTCATTCCGAATTGACTCGAAATCAAATACTGACCCTTGAGCATTTTGCTGAAGAAGACCAACAGGAATTCAGACCATAGCGGGATAGAACCTAGTCCACCACCGGCAAGAGCAGAAAATAGAACATCCATGGAGAAAATAGCTCTTGTGGAAAGACTACACAGCTCGAGTCGAACCACCGACCTCCTGATAGAGCAACTGGCTGAGAGCAGAGTGATCCCATCATGTCGGCCGATGAACAAGTGCGAACCCATCTCTGACTGGTCTTCATTGGCAGTGGGAGGTCTCGTCTCGAGGGATCCATTTCTGCACTCTGTCCAGGCGACAACACGTTTCTACTGCTCTTCCGCAATGAGCTATTCGCTCTGGGCAGCGTTCTTTTGATACTTAGTTTTCTCAGAAGGTGCTCCTGCCGCATCCTGCCCGTGGACGAGGAGTAGGGATTTTTGTTGAATTCCGAAGCCTGATGGCTCGGCGTGTGATTTTAATTCAGATAAGGCAGTAGTGGTTTGACCGTATTGCGGCGCATCTCATCGTTGTATCCCTGCTTGTCCGTGCGTATTTCAACGGATGCATCGGCAGTTCTACTCCCTCCACGGACAAGCCAGCTTCATTGACACTCTGTTTATATGACTCTATGTTTTATGTGGGATTCCTGTGCGTTATTGCCACCCCGCGCTCATTAGGAATGATTGTTGAGGAGGCGCATGGGATGCTGGGGGTCGAGATCTGTTCGGGTTATTCATGCGAATTCCACGACTCCAAACACAAGTCGGAGGGGTGCGGGCTATCATTCGGGTACGGGATATCTGTTACACTAAACGGTGAGTTGGATAAACATTTTATCTGTGACTTTGAATGTAATAAGACAGATTTATCCGACTATCAAGACATGTTTCTTGATTCGGTATCGCAGCTCGGAAGCGAAGCTCTGAATACTGGATTAGGGTCTTCCTTTTCGGTCAGAATCATTCTTTGTCTTAACGCGGAGCGAACCCGTCATTCAGGTTTTCACGGCGACTGTGAGTCAATACAGTCCGAGTCGGGGGGCAATTTCGGAAATGGCACATACCTATGAAGAAGATCGGTTCATCGTGACCCTTGGAGAGTGCCGCTTCACAGGGATAGTAGTAAATTGTTGCACCCACTTCTTTGTGCTCGTTCAAGAATATTCAAACTCGTCAGGCATGATACCTGGCACACTGTATTTGGTACGAATGACAATCTCAACTCCCCGTTCGGTCTGCCAATCTCCTGTTGATTTTTTTTTTTGGAACACCGGCGTTGCATATGCAACGCTCCACTTGCTGTCCTAATACGCCGTTCACTTCGTCCGAGGAGATACCAGTCCGTAACCGTTGTGACCAACGTGATTCGAAGTTGCGCTTCATCGGTAAGAACAAAACAGGAGTCATAATCTCAGGCTGGGCGGTCCAGATCGGCGTCTAATCAGCACACTCTCTCCCAAGGACGGAATTTTGGGATCCGGCCAAGAAATTGGGTCAGCGCCGGAAGTGCAGCCAACATCTTCCTGTAACAGGAGTACGACTGGCACCGCATATGTTGGTTTCTCCCCGCATCCAGACTGACCGGGACTTCGGTTCAGCCTTGACTTGAGCCTTACCGAATACCGATGCATGCCAGCTTCCTATTGTCGCGTCCCGGAGAGCCGTGACGGCCTGAATCGAACAGCCCCCCAGGGTTGCCTCGGGCGTGTCAAGTGTATAACATCATCACACACATCGCCGGGGACATGGTACGAAATCACCGAACGCTGTGTTCCCCGCATCAATCCAAGCGTTCTTGGAGAAATTCGAGACCAGGTCAACGACGTGAACGTCGCAATATGCCGCAGCCGGAATGGAATGCTTAGGAGAAACCTGGCACCATTTAGGAATGCATCACATATGAAACTCAGCTCAGGATGGAATAATAAATTGGGAGGGGAAAACAGTTGCGCCAAGGCATTGGAGGATCACACGGATGTACTTACTAAAAGCTCAAGCTCGGTCATTTAAGCTACGGATAATGTCCTGCCGGTACCTCCGCAATGCCTTTCTCCATTGCTCATGTACGGTGGACCTTCGGACCAGATCCGCATTTTTATGAGAAGGAAGGACCACTTATCAAGCCCGCAAAAAAAAATGACACCGTACTGACGTGGACTATACCGGAGTCGAACCGGTGACCTCCCGCACACATAAATGCTAAGCGGACGCGCTACCAACTGCGCTAACAGCCCTGTGACTGGCGTTCTGAGCTGCAATATCCACAGACAATATGAAGTTCCAGCAATGAGAGCTGTACGTCCACCATGTACATTCACATATCCGCAGTCGTTCTTCAGTCCGCAGTAATTCCTCCTCAGTATCTTTATCTATGTCACGCCAGGAATACAGATGATGTTGATGGTTGTTTATCAGGATACATGTCGTAGGGTACAACTAGCCTTGGGCGTATGCGTATGTATGTATATACCAGTAATGGTTGCAGAGGCGTAAGTAAGGTTGGCCATAGTAGGAAATCCACAAGTCGCAAAGAGAGGAAGAAAAAAGTGAGGGTCATAGCTATCAGATAGATTACGACGCGGACGTGTGATCCTGATGATCACCGTCCGTCCAACTCCAGTCCAACAGTCGAACAGTCAGTGTCTTGAAACCGAAGATGTCGAGACGAGACGAGGCCTCGACTGCGGGGTTAACACCCTGACAGTTGGCCGGGTCCAAGCGTCCAAGCATGCTGCCTGCCAGATGCCCGTCACGCGACAATCATCTCCCAGTCCTCAGCTTTGGCAACGGCAGCGGCAGCACACGGTGTCTCGGCAACGACAATCCACGACGTGCTCATCGGTGCGCACTCGACATCCGCCATAGCGACATCCGGGTCCGAGTCACCAAGCAGCTCGCTAGCGGCATTCAGCAGCTCATCCACCTCCTCGTCCGGGATGTCGCCAATCTCAGCATCCAAATCAAGATCAAGATCAAGATCTAGGTCGTCACCAGCGAGACCCGCGTCCTCGACATCCATGGTGCAGATCCGCTCCAGCTCCTCCGTCGCGGACATGATCCCTACCGCGAGCCGCGCACCCATGTGCAGGATCTTGGACCCGGACGGCGTCGTGCGCATGCACGCCGTCAGCGCACGCCGGTGAAGATCCGAACAAGCGGAGTGGCTCGGCTTTGGCACCTTGCTGAGGGCTGGCGCGATGCTTGTCGGTGGGAGGACGGGGGTGCGGGACTTAGCCTGGGACAGGGACTTGGATTTGGATTTAGACTTGGATGGCGGAAAGGGGGCACGGGGTGGCGAGGGCGGCGTGTACGCGCGCTTGCTCGCCGACGTAGATAGAGGGGACGAACAGGGATGGCTTGCGAGACCGGGAGGATCTGCAGGCGGCTGGCTCCTGGTGGGAGCAGGGGGCTGAACGTAGAACGACACCGTGGCCTTCAGTTTGCTTGGTGAGGGGGTGGACAGGGACAAAGGAGAGGGGGGAACAACGGCAGCTGTCGTTTGAAATGACAGAGAAGGAAAGGAAGGGGCAGAAGACGGCGTGGCACACGATGGATGAGCCGGCCTCCTTCTGCCGTCCTTTTGCTCTTTGTGATACCGAAGCGACCGATGGGGGACCGCAGTGAGCATGGTGGTGGTGGTGCTCGGCGATGCGCTACTCGAGGACCCCGCCGCGTAGAGAGACAGATCCAGTGACGACTCGGTACGGTGCAATCGCTTCCGTGGGGGACTGGAGAAGCTCGTCGTGCGCTTTCTTTGAGTGGTGGGGGTAGGTGGGGCGGTGTACACGCAGACGGTGGCCATACTGACTTGGGTCCTCGAGCGTTAAAAGTTTAAGGGCGAAGTAGATGAGACTAGACAGCAAGTCCGAGGTTAAAACCGAGGAAGGGACGTGGTGCGAGGGCCGAGATGGACGTACAAGGCAAGACACACGGTGGCTATGTCATCCTGTGGCCAAGGCATTATAGTCAGCGTCACATCGTTGTCACGCGTTGTTGACTCACGCTGCCACGAGCGGATCTTGGTGGCTGTGTCCGGGGCTTCAATCTGACTGCGGTCCCTACTTCCCGTCCTCGAAAATGAAGATGCTTACTACTGGCGACTCGCGTATCTTCTGTGCGCGGAAAAATGAAGGAAAAGTTCCCCGCGATGAGTCAAGCCGAAAGTCCCCGTGGGGACTCGGTGATGGCTGCAGAGCATGTGGACCTGCTCGGGACCCGGTGCTGCCGCATGTCTGTTATGTCTCCTTAGCCAATGGACAATTGATAGCGTACCTACCCCCTCGCTGCAAACACATGCTCGAGTGGCAGCGATCTCGCGTCGCGTCGCATCCTATTCGCCGCATGGGCTGCAATGTAGATATCCGCTCCAGTACTTGGCCCAGAGGCACCAAAAGGAGTAGTTCCCCGCAGACATCCGTTTCAGCTCCATCTGCATCTCATCTAATCAGCGCAGAGCATTCAGCATGGCTGATGATCGCGTTGTGATATCCGCACCAACAGCGAGGGATCAGCACGTCAGCACAGGGCATTGCCTATCTGCGCAGATCCTGGTTCCCGTGGTCCCAATGGACCGATGCAAGTCCGAGCAGTGAGCTGCGCAAAACCATCTCTGAAAATTATCGTCCATATGGCACGCATGCCTAGCGGCTTACTAGAACCTACAAGCAAGTTCCTTTGGAGATCATTGAATTAGTGGGGCAATGTCGTCATCAACTGTTGGCCAACGTGGATTGCGATGAGGCGCTTTGACCGGACAAAATGCAGTGCGTCATACAGTGATATGCAATCGACAGGTGCTTTCCCAGCTGGGACAGTCTAGGACAGTCTGTGGGAAGACCACGGCGCGTGTAACTTGCAAGTCAGCAACAAAGATCTCCCTTATTCGGAGTGGTAAGCCACCATTCATATGAGTAGCCTACACAAACGGGAAGACTGAATAAGATAATGCCTGCCCTAGCCCTGAAGGCACTACTTGAGCTGCAACTCTCCTGCGCGGGAAGGATGCTACATCTTCGCCCTCAAAACGGCCCGACCCATGCTATGGCCTGTGCCCAACATCTCGCTTCCGTCCACGACTGGGACGGAGAACCCAGTAGTGCAATGACCTCATGAGCTCTCCTTTGAGAAACTGCGGACAGCACAAGAGGTCCCGCTCCACAAGCAAACCAATGTTAGCTGGATTCGATTGATCTTACCGCTCGAAGGCCCGGACCGATCCTGGACCCGTTGTTACAGGATGATGACCGCCAAATAACACCGCCCAGAAAAGTGTGCGTGCTTCCTCGCGGCTTGGTCGCTGATGCGTCATCCGTGCAGTCAGTTGCGGGCATCACAGTCATCGGTGACCGCAAACACCCGTCACGGTCACGTCTGGTGCTATCCATTTCCAGGGATCCGGAGAAACAAGCATGGTGGCAGGCCGCAGTCCGATGAACCGGCGGACGTGGCCGGAGAGTGTGGGAGGACCAGGATACGCCTCGGGAATAGTGGTGGCGTACGACGGCAACGAGAACCGAGTCAGACATCCGGCACATCGCACACAGAGATTGTCATCTCCATCCCCGAGATCCTGGGGGGACCGGCAAGTCGCGAGACATCGAGGGTTCGGCGCCAGTGTCTATGTATGTCGTGCCGTGATACGAGCGGCACATGATCGCCGGCAATGCATCGTTCGATGGCCAGGAATCGGATATCGCATCCGCAGCGGCGGCGGCGGCGGCGGCGGCGGCAACGGCTTCTGGCGCGTACTTGGCAATCATTAACGACGGCCCCTTGCCACTGGCACTAGCTGCGGACGCAAAGCCCCTTTGCGAGTCGCAATGAGAACTCGAACCGTTGCGGCAGAGTCCCCGCGCCTAGAGGAAAAGCTGGCGCCGGAGTTCTTGTCAGTTCTCTATTGAATGAGGATGACAGACGGGATACCGAAGACCCAGACTAGATTCGAGATGCCGTGGAAGTCCGAGTCCGCAGGAGAAGTTGAGCGCAGAACATCCAAGTCATACCCGCATGTCCTAGTGTCCGCCATCATTGTCATGGTGATCTCTCCCGGGATTGAGACAATTCTCCGGCGGTCCTTCAATCGCGCAGGAAGCTTTCGACTCGGAAAAGATGTGCGAACGTCGCGATCCTGATTACAGCGAGGCTCTTCCCAGTGGGCGATAACGACGGAGTCGCCCGAGGATCGTCGTAGTAAGCAAGGTTATGAAGCGATCGCTGAAGAGGACTTGCGGAAGGAAAACTAATGCTTAGACAGACAAGAGTCGAAGGTCTTAGCTACTGACGTAATCTATCGACAGCGCATTGAAGTCAGTCAGTGACAACTCATCCACTGCTTTGATTACCGTCTCACAAATGGTCTGAATGCGGCCGACCTTCAAGATAGAGACATCGCTCTATGAATGTGCCAATACTCTGTCATATTTTCACTTCCTCAAAGCCGATCTTCTCACAGTCGAACGTCCCTACCTCCAAACCCGAATCTCAATCCAAACCACTCGCAGCAGATACCCCGGCCGGAGCCAAAACCCGCCGTGTCGGCTGCGAAGCAGCAGGGCCACCGAACATCGACGAGATCATATCTCCCAGTGGATTCCCCCCTTGGCCGCGCGGCGGCGCGAGTGCAAAGTACAGCGACGACAGATCCGTCAGCGCCTGCGAACAAGGCCACCAAACCCTCAGCAACAGCAGCCCACAACTGGGTGAGGATAGACGCCACGTACCTGCCGCACTTCGGGCGAAGCCATGATTCCCCGTCTTGCCTGATACGTCCCGCACAACCGGACCCAGCTTTCCCGCGCTGCCTTGTTGCGCTCCCCCTGGGCACGCTGGCAGGCCAGAACCGCCAGCTGCGCGAAGTTGCACACCGGGTCCGTCACGAGGTACACTTGCGACTCGCCGATCGTGAGCGGGGTCTCAGAGGTCCGCGGGATGGGGGCGATGAAGCGCGTGATGAACATGCGTGCGGAGAGAATGTTGCCGTTCATCAGGTACCTGTGGCGCGCAATGAGGTTGAGAGCACAATATCACGCTTGGCTTCGCGCGAGAGACGTACGGCAGAGTCCCGCGCAGAGCAAATGCGCCGTAAGAGTCCACATCGGCTGCAGCCCATTCGATGAACATTTCAGCAAGAACGCGCGCACTGTCCCTGTTCCCGGATGCTAGGAGGTGTGGTTCCGCGGCTTCAAAGGCGCCATCTACGCACACACGCAAATGATAAGCACATCAGTCGAAATCAGTTCTGATGAAGAGAGCAACTTGAAGGACCTTTGAAAAGCAGGACACCGATGTAGTGGTGCAGCTCCGAGTCGCCTGCAGGACATGGGCCGTGTTTCGCCGACCATCTAGTAGCCACGTTTGAGCGAGCGACGGCAGCACCGAGCATAACATGACGGGGCCCTCACGCAATGGACTTGTCGATCACCGTCTTCCTCCACGAGCCTTCTGAGCCGCAAAGCGCGATGAGTTGCGTCACTCGACCTGGGAACAGCACGGGGAAGTAGTAGGTAAGCCATCGCTGCTCCGCAGTGGCCTCGCAGCAGAAGCGCTCCACGGACCTCGACTTTCCTCGCTCACTGGCTCCCCCTTGGCATCGTACACCTCGAGCATGAATCCGGAAAGATCGACGCCGCTGCCCGCCTGCCCCGCCTTGAAGAGCTCGCGCGCGCTCTGGAACAGGACGTCGATCGCGGTGTCGTATTGGCCGGACTTGGTGTACCGGGAGGCGAAGGTGCGCGCTTTCTGATGCGCCTCGTATGGCGAATTGGCTATCTGCGGCAGGATCGCGTTGAGGGCGCGTGAAGAGGCCATCGTGGTGTCCGAGCCCAGTGAGGTTTTGAGCGAAAGTGACAGTGTGTGGATCTTCCTGTGGCTGTGTGATGGGATTACCACCTTTGCCTTCCAGCCACGAGTGGGATGCCGATATGCACGACCTGCACCGCGGCTGTGCCTTTTCTCTATACCGTCTACGATTCTAAATCTAACTTGCGTCTTCACCAATGCGTATGTCCGCTTCTTGAACCCGAATCCGAACCCCCAGACCCCATGCGGGTAGGAGAAATGCCACAGTTTCGCGGACCCCTACGTCGAACACGACTCGTTCATTCTTCTTCTGGACCTCATTCTCCTGAAACGCGATGTCTTCCGACATCTGCTGTACAACCGGGGAACGAACCCGAGGAAATACGTGGATGGAGTCGAGGTCAATGTCGAAAGACCGACTTCTCAGCAGAGAGAGCGAGTGAGTCGCTTGTGCATTGAGCGGGATTTCATGCTAAATCTTCAATCCAGAATCGATGGAAGAATGTTTTCAGATTTGGCGGTCCCCTGATATTCGTTGACGCGTGTTGGTGCTTTCGAATTCCCTTCGCGTCCATGAATTTTCTGAACTTTCGATGCAGTCATACGCTGGAGTCATTTGCGTAAGTGACATGGCACCTAGCCTACATATGTCTCGAATGACAATCCCACTCTGACAGATCCATCTTTCTCAACTGTTTCGGCGCCCTTAACAGACGCGGCCGTCATCGCTCTGTTGAAAACCGTAGCCGGCGTTCTCATAGGTCAGTTTCCGATCTTCCCACAAAAAAAAAGTGACTGACCCCAAAGCAGAGACGATAACATTCCATAGTGGAGTCATCTGTGCCTGCTGGGCCGTTCAAAGCTTGTTGGACCGCCTTCCTTTCACGAGGCACGATAAACCTTCAGCGATCCGCCAAGAATTTCGATTCTCGCTTATCCCGCTGACCTTATTCTATTCCTCGCTGACGAAATTGTTTCTGCTGTTTCTGCTCACGATATGGCGCCCCTCGACCGAACCAACCCGGTCATCCGGCTCCCTCGCAGCGCGACTTGGATGGCAGCAGCTGTCGGATGAGGACGTGGACAGGGAATGGGTTGTCAGGAACGTGCTTGGTGGGATGTCGGCTGGGTTCGGGCTGCGGGGTACGTCCACTGCTCACTCATTCAAGTGTCACGATCTCATCTGAAGTCGTTTAGTTATCCTCGACTCACATCCAATATTCACCACCCTGATCATTGCGGCGGGTTGGGTGGTCAAAACGGCTGCGTCGCGGGGAGTAAGTCGCTGGGTGGGCGGAGACGAGCTTGCGGGCGAGGCATGGATGGCCTATAGCATTCCATGAACCTCCCAGCTCGAGTGCTATCGTTGAATAACAAAGAGACTTGTTATCGGGTCGGATAAGGTTGCGAAATCCTCTATTCGGATCTCTCGGATCGAATCACCTGATTCTCGTGAGAGCGGATCGGCCGTCCGGGCCCCACCCCAGTTGACTGTATTTAACGCAGCGTTACTGCGTGGAAGCCACCCTCATCATCCTTCTGTACGATGTCCAATACTGACACCCAGCTCCCGCCTCGTTTCGCTGACCTGAAGCGCGAGATCGCCAGCGCGAACCCCAACTTTGAGCAGAACCTGACGCGTGCATGGGGCGAGCTGCTTGTCGAGCTTGAGAAGGCGACATCGGACATCGCGGCGCAAGGATCTTCCGTAAGCCAGTGCCTCGTGCATCGAACCTCGAGGCATTCAGTAGACACTCATACGTGGCCCCTGCAGTACATCCCGCAAGTCCACTTCGCTGACCTCGACAAGTTGACGGCCGAGCAGATCGCCGACATCAAGCGCAAGGGTACGGTTGTTATTCGCGATGTCGTTGATGATGACAAGGCGCGCGGGTGGAAGACGAGTCTGGAGGAGTTCGTCAAGGCGAATCCCCAGGTCGAAGGTGTGACACTCAGGCTCGTATACTATTGCACCGGCGGCGGCACTGACCCAATGCGCAGGGTGGCCTGAGACGGGTGCCAAACAATTCTTCCAGCTCTAGTCCGTTCTAGTGCTTCCCTTGATCTCGTCCCACGCTGATTATATCTACAGTTGGACCAAAGCCCAGATCGAAGCTCGCGCCCATCCGAATATGCTCAAGTCGATCGCGTGGCTGAACAACCTCTACCACACCAACGGCTCCTCGCCGCCAGAAGGCGTCGATCTCTCTACCCCGCTCGCCTACGCTGACAGGTTCCGCATCCGCAACCCAGGCGGAGTCTGGGACCGTCACCCACCGCACGTGGACGGTTCGTCCTTGTTTATCTCTCGACCTTGATCTGTCGCGCTGATGTCACAATCCTCCTCATTAAGGTGGTTCGATCGAGCGCTGGGAGGACGAAAAGCTTCGCGTCTGCTTTGCCGACATTCTATCTGGCGCGTGGAGGAACCATGACCCGTATGCGTTGGAACCGCGTCTCGAGGCTCGAACATCTTTGTACAACCGGCCGAATCAGGTGTGCTTCATTATTTGTCGTGCCTGTCCTGATTCTCGCTAAACTGATGGCAAAGTCGAGTGTATTCCGCACCTTCCAAGGATGGCTTGCCATCAGGTGCGGACTCAAAAATAATCTTCGGGGTCATACGCGCTGACATGTCATCTATAGTAAGACAGGACCACACCAAGGAACCCTCAAGGTCTTCCCGAGCTTGATTCTCTCCAACGCCTACATCATCATGCGCCCCTTCTTCCGGCCGATTGTTCCGCTGGGATCACCGGATATCCTTGCGGCCAAGAACTGGGTGTTTGGTGCGTTTTTTGGCGTCTCCTCAGCGTCAGTCGTCAGCGGATTCTGAGTCTCAACAGATCTATCCTCGTCTGAATTCCCGGGCATCTTCACACGCGCCGGCGACAAGGGATTCCACGGCCCTCGTCCTTCCGACGAATTGCACCCCGTATGAATAGAATCAATCACGTTAAAAACACACTAGATCTGACCACCTCGTCCAGCACCTGCTCCTGAACCAGACGATGACCTCTATCCCCGACGTGAATCCCGGCGACACCGTCTTCTGGCACTGCGACGTCGTGCATGCCGTCGAAGAGGAACACACGGGCGCGGAAGACTCCGCGGTTATGTACATCCCCGCCGTCCCGCTCACCCCCGTCAACGCCAGCTACATCGAGAAGCAGCGCGTGAGCTTTGCTGCGGGCATCCCGCCCCCTGATTACCCCGTCGCGACGACTGGCGTTGACTTTGTGGGGCTCGCCACCGAGGCTGATATTGTCGAGAGCGAGGGCAGGCGGGCGATGGGGCTTCCGATTGCCCTCGGCGCTTGACGTTATTTGCAGGAGTAAATCGAATATCTTGTGCCGAGCAATAACGGAGAACAAGTATGTAAATGAAATGCAAGTTGAACTGTAGAGATTTCAATTCCATCGCTTAGTATTGGACTCGGGCCAGCGGATCTGTTGCAAACTGAACACAAAGGACACTGCCAAGGCCGCACGTGATGTTCAAACCGGCTAGACGACTCGATACGACTTGCAAGGCAACAACAAATTCACCTGGACACAGTTTCATTATCGCTCATCCATTGCTCTCCCCAAAACCCCGTTCTCCCGGATCGTCGCAATTCCACACTTGGAGTGTACTGGCATCTATTTGCTTCCGGTATTCTATTCAATATAACTACCGAATCTACGAGTGTACCGCATACGAAATCAATAAGAGAGACCTCGGTCATTTCGTCAACGTCTCTACACATACGGAGGGCCAAGCGCTGGGTGGAATGAGTTTCCCTTGGGGTGAGAAGATGGTCAGATGAGCATACCTTGTCGGAAAACGCCCAGCGTAAATTCGACGACGAGGAGCAACACTCCGCCGCCAGGTGCCAGCCGCAGGACCTTGGGCACGAAACCCTTATACAACGCACCGATGCCCTCCTCGCGGGCGATCGTAACCAAAGCGGGGTATGTCCAGTTGTATTTCGGAGCCACGCCGGGCACCTTGGCAGCGCCCTGGATCCGAGATTTTACAACCTACTGGAATGAGCAAGGCTAGCATATCAGTATAAACCGGAACTAACATCAAAGCTGCGCAAATAATTGAGGTTCATAGACCCATTCAGAAAGAAAAGGCGCACGGAGTGTTCAAACAAGTGCCAGCAAATCCACCAATAGATCCGGAGATAAAATTGTTCAAAAGCGTTCCTTGGGGAGTCTGATAGTTGAATTACTATCAAGAAAGGGCTTCGTCGATCTTCGAACGACGCACCTCAGCCTTCGGAAGCAAGGCTCGGACCTGGAAGATGGAGCCGAAGAATCCACCATTCCACCACAAGTGCCTAAGTCAGTGGTTTGAGGACAAAAAGACACAGGACATGCCATACAAAACGCGCACCGCCAGAAGGTAGACTCCATGCCTGCATACATTCCCAAAAGCCCATCGGTCTTGATGATGTGCCTAACAACTTCCATCGGGCCCTTGAAAGTACTCGTCTTGTCTTGCATTCTGGTAGAAATGTAAGAGTAAGTCGCTTGCGACAATCATGTGTTCCAATGCCCACTTGATTTTGACCAGCTCGAAGGGAACGACCACGATACTCTCCTGCTCTCTGCGTTAAAAAGAGATCGCTTATTCAACTGAACAAGTATACCGTTGCACCTGCGGAACATCCAGTGATGATCGACAGACTCTGAGTCATCTTTGTTTCGCCGCTGAACGAGAGATATGTCTTTCCCCAGAAGTCATTGGCCGCACTGTACCAACAGCGATCAGACCCCATGCGGCGAGAAACACAGCTTCCATACGCACAACTTGACTGCACGCTTGGGCGCCTCCAAAAGCAGCGGCGGAACGAGACCTGACGTAGCACACGACCAGTCACGTCATGCAGTGAAGGTGTGAAGGAGTGTTGTACCTCGATACAAACGGCCCACGCTGATGGAATGTGAGGAGTGCGCATGGAATAGACGAGGCCGGGTACGCACCCCTCCTGCCGAACAATCGTCCTAAAACTTCCGATCAACCCCTCCGACGACTTGCCCGTCTCGAGCTGCATGCGAGTTTTGACCTGCGCGAAGCGTGAGAGGGAGCGCGCGACCGGATCACGGGCCGAGGTGGACTTACAACATCTGGAGAGCGACAGTGAGCGCCAGTGGATCCTCGATCGCAGACAGGAACATACCGAGTGGGTAGAAAGTCAGGATCTCTGATATCCCCGCGATGGCGCCGGCGGCAAAGTTGGCGGCAAATGGGAGAGCTGCGATCCATTCAGAGTGTCTCCAGCGGTGCTAGTGCGCCAAAACGCACGTTTCCTGTCCGAGGTGGCCATAGCGGGCAAATGAGGAAGGGTGACGGTTAGGAAGTAGAAGAGGTGTGGGATCACGTGTCACCTGACAAAACCTCGAAAGGCGATTTTACCGAGCGTGACGCCAAGCCTTGACAGAGTGACGCGATTGTGACACGGTGATTTCGTCTCCATTCCGGCACACCCACCTGCTGCTTGGCAGCTTCATGTGCGATGGTCTATATCCAAGCATGGCAAGAGTACCAAGATGCTGCTGAGGCCTTGTATACTAAATCCCCGAACATCGTTCGTTCCCAGCATCGTTTCATGCACGGCTTTTTTGCTGATCCCGTTTGCAGACGCGATACTGTGTCAAATGGAAGGCGTCCGAGGGAAAACTGGTGCTGAAAATCACAGATAACACGAAGGTGCGTTGCTCTCCGATATCTGCCTCTCATTTACCCGCCGACATGCGAGCCTTCAGTGCATCAAATTCAAGACGTCCTCATCCGTCTTCCTCAACCGCTTCGAGGCCCTCAATCTTTCTTTGATGCAGAAGATGCAGAACAGGCAGCAGCCGAAAGTACCGGACCACTCCTCACCCCCACCGCCTGTTTCTTCATCCGCCCCCATCGATGCCACAGCAACCGTTGTCCCCAGCGCGGGCGGAGCCCCGGCTGCTGGCGGTGCTGCTAAGAAGAAGAAACCGAAAAAGAAGAAGTAGTGTCTCTGTATCTAAACAGTGCGCACGGGTGGAGTAGGGTCATGGAACTATCGGGATGTTGTCGCGAAGCTTGCACACGTCGGATCTTCTCGCCGCCTTGGCTCGGATGCAGAGGGATGGATGGTGCGACAGGATTCAGACACACATGTATCCTTGACGCTTCTCGACCGGACGTCGGACTTGCCTATCAACGCTTTCCATGACCCTGTCCGCAATCTCAATGCACTGTTCCACTTCGCTTGCACTGGCGTGTTCTCCGCGGCTGTCACCGCCTTACGTCTGATGAGGCGCCTAGGCGTGCGCCATTATCTATGCCCAGCCGGACATTCAGGTACACTCTCCTGCGGTGCTACATCCTTTGGCACACGAAATTGAAGTTACTGTTCGCCCCGGTCATGCGTAGCCTGGTGCGGCTCAGATGCAGCGATGTGAATGAATGGATATGAGGGACAACCGGTCAAGTGAGCAGTCGACATGGTGAGGCGCACGCTCAATACGTATGGCATTTCATCACTGGCTAAAACATTGAGGCGTGAGAGAAGCCTCGCGGCACGCGATCACGTGTGTACACCAGGATACTCTCTCTTCTTCTCAAACGACCTGCGAGCATATCAACTGGTCCCACTATCTGACAATTTCATGAGCCCACACCTCTTTGCGGCAGCCCCGCCTGCGCTTTTCCCTCTCAGGAACACCCATCATCGTCTGCTTTTCGTCTCTCATCCTCAGCACAAGGCTCCTGCGTCCTCTTGAACAGACCTTCGACGATACTCCATCTCTCGCACACTTTCATCCATCATCGTGCGCCAGGCTTTTGGTAGGACACACGTCCCCCTCTTTATATATCTCTTCCGCGTTCGCCACATCCTTGCTGTGGCAGCATCGGGCGATGAGTGAGCAGCCACCCGAGGACCACAGCTGCGCGTCCTTTGACATGCAATCGTCTGCAGAGGCAGATATTCGGAAATCGCCTTCCGCGAATGGCTTTTTTGCTCTCGGTTCGGACGTGTCGCGGTGAAGAAGCTAGTACTTCCTGGTGCCCGTGTCGCAGCAGTATGTATCAGGCTTGGGCTCTACAGCCTTCCGATCACGTCGAAACAGTGCCAGCTGAATCATGATCCTCTCTGGACCTATGTATGGCGAACCACTTGTCACCACGCGTTTGTTGCACAGTAGCCGGTCTGCTTCTCCGTCATGTACCTCACTGCTGTGCTGCGCGCCAGGAAAACGAGGCGATGAGAAGCCCATCCAATTGTCCCCATCGTTCTTGGCTTCTTATTGTGTACTCGCCGGCAGGAGCATGGGTCTGCCCAGGTCGTCCACACCTTAAGCGCCGGGCCTGCAAGCTACCGAATCTGCATAAGCCTACGACAACTTGGACGGCGGTCGAGTGGCTTTTGATTCCCATGCTTCGTGCTCTGGAGACAGTTTCTGTTCATTAGCGAGCAGTCCGAGGCACTAGTCGTCGGAGTGGGTCGCGGGAATGTAGAAACACTGTTTTCCTCCATCTCATTCTCGCATGTGAGATTTCCGTAACAAAGTCCGTGAAAAGGGAAGTGCATCACGCAGCCGCAATGTTGGCACCAATGCTCGACAGCAAGCTTCAGAGTCAGCTACAGACGTGTCGATCGACTTTGACTACTTGACATCTAATCCAAGTAGCCACACCTCTATGACTCGGATACATGACTCGGATACCTCCTTCCCCCGTCAGCAATGCCATGCAGCCTGGGCCACCGGTCAGCAGTGACCGTGGAAAGATCACCAAGGCTTATCTCACCGTCCTGTTTCCTGGGGTTCCTACGTTATAGTACGGTGTGACACCGATGCACTCGGCGACCGTGATCATCTTGTAGCCGGCTTTCTTGAGAGCATTTACAGCGTAAGGCATGACCTGGTTACTGAGCAAGTCCATCTCAGTCTTTGAAGGGCAAGTGATTTCCAGGCACGGACACACTCACACAGTCGGTGCTGGAATCATAACAGCGTCAGAGATGTCCCCAGTTTACGATAGCATTGCAGACTGACCCTCTGTCTCGTGGTTCAGCGCCAGGAAGTTGTTCACGTGTTTGGCAATTTGGTTATCGTACGCCTTTTCGCTGGCAGTAGCCGAAGACCCAGTCGAGTCGCCCGAACTGGAAGCGGCCCACGTCTCAGCCCACAAAGATCGATACATGAGGGGAAGACGCACTCAAAGTCCCAGATGATGATGTGCTTCCCCGTTTCGCCGGCGACAGAGCGCACAAGGTCGTTGTAATACCCATACGCTTGGAACCGACGTCAAAACGCGTCGGACGACGGTGGCAGTCATATCGACTCACGAGGCCGGAAGCAAGTCGGCTTGGCACCGATGATGTTCTGCAGCGCATCTGTGTTCCACCAGGGGTCATCCATCTCATACGCACGTACTATAGCAGACGGATCAGATGTCCGACGTACCATCCACTTTCGAGATCTCGAGTCGTATCTGCGATGCGGACAGCGTGGTGAGATCGGGATGCGACCAGGTGTGCGAGCCGATCTGGTGTCCTTTGCTGTAGACGTATTTGACCGACGCGACTTGTGGGCTGTCGTAGATGCAGTCCCCTGAGGCCACGGTCATCCGCTAGTAAGCTCAAGACGGAGGGAGTCGCACAGTTGTTCCCGTCTGTACCCCATAGTCCTTCAGTCCAACTGGATGGAATACCAGAGTGATGAATCCCACTCACTCATGAAAAACGTGCAGTGTCCACCGGCGTTGGTGAAAATGTCGCTGATCGTCTTTCTGCAGACGCGTCAGACTCATTGACCACGCTTCGAAACGATTCGCAGCCACGCACGTCCACTGATACGGCCCGTCGTCCTGCGAGCGAGTCCCATGTCAGTGGTTCGACCAAGGGCACGCGATACTGTCGGAGCCACGCACGAAGGTCACCGCGACGGTCTTGGGGTCTTTGCATCCAGTGTACACCGTCGCAGCACTGCCCGCGCGCGAATGCAGAGTGAGCGCCGCGCCGGCGTCGACGAAAGCGCTCGCGAGGAGGGACAGGACGACGATCGAGTGCATGGGGGTGCGTTGCGCGCTGCCTGGTCTTAGACCACCTCAGTCTTATACGCGCCATGTGAGATAGGGCCTGCAGGCTGCCGCCCAACTGCCGCTACGCTTCCACCGGAGAAGCGGACCCTGAGCAGGCTTGTACGTCTTGAAAGCTTCTGGACAGTCTGGACGATGGCTGCCGCGGGCTTGACCAAAGGGGCAAGATAGGACGGCAAGCAGTATGGGAGTCTGGCATGGCTGAAGACCTCGGCAACGAGTCAAGTATGTATGAGGACAACGCGAATGGTGCGAGCCAGGGGCACTCTTTACTTGTCTGAACATGATTGTCCGGAGCAGAAAGATACTTTGAATGCATCAACATGCCCACATTCTATGGAGGCGCTCTTGTTCGGGCAGCAACTACAACAATGCATAGCTCTACGCCATCTAGCTGGCTACTCGACTAGCAGGTCCAAGTCTCACTCTGTAGTCCAGAATCAGCATCGTCCGTGAGAAGGAAGACCTTCACTCACATCACGAACGCCCAGATCACCGACGTGCGTATAGGGATCCATATCCAGACACTCGGCCACAGTGACTAGGTTATATCCGGCAGCCTTGAAGGCGTCGACCGCCCAGGTCGCGAGTTGCTTACTGGAGGGCGACAAATCAGTTGTAGGCATCATCCAAGCGAATCGACACGCACGCAGTCGTTTCTGAGCACAAGCGACAATCAGCAAGCCACTCGCTCCAGAGGTGGAAGCCAATCACCTTCGGTTTCGTGGTTCAGCGCAATCACCGAGTCAGGACGGCTTTGGATGAGATCGGTGTAGTACTGCTGGCTCTGAGGAACAGTCGCATTCAGGGAGTCTTCTGAGCTGAGACACCGTTAGAGCGGTCGCGAAGGTCTCAGGGGCGAAGACACACTCGAAATCCCAAGTTATCATCGTCTTATTCAGGACATAGGCCACTTCGCGGACACGCGTGTTGTAGCTCCCGTACGCTGAATGGCGGATATCAGCAGCGGCACACTGAGATATGGATTACCCTGCACTCACGAGGGCGGAAGAACGTGGTGTTGATGCCCAAGACTCTGAAAAGCGCATCTTCGAAGAGAGTAATCAGAATCTAACCGTCTCATGAGGCGGATAGACCTACCGTCGATTTTGTTCAGCTGCTTGGTAACTGTCTCAAATATGAGTGCCTGATGGCCAAATGCAGAAAGTCAAGAGCACGCACTGCTGGCAACGCTGAGAGTCGTAAGATCAGGGTGGGACCAAGTGTGCGCAGCGATCTGGTGGCCGGCAAGATACGTCTGCTGCAGATACGACGAAACAGTACGAGCGTAAATGCAGTCGTCTGCGCGAAAGAAGATTCATCGAGGCACCCTCATGGAAGTGACTTTCATCCTCACAGTTGTTCCCATCTACAGGATCTGAGCTTGCGCAGCTAAGGTTCGAGAACTGCACTCACTGACGAAAAAGGTACCCTTCGCACCCTTCTGGGTGAGCATGTTGCTGATTAGCGGCCTGAGATAGAGTTGGAGCACAACGCGCGAGCTAATCGTCCGAAGCTCACATCCACTGGTACGGCCCGTCGTCCTGTGGGATACACGTCAGTTTCTCGGCCGCCCCACCCGATCGAGCCACTAAGCACGCACGAAGGTCATCGCAACGGCGTTTTTGACCGTGCAGCTGGTCACGACGCGGACCTTGGGCGTACTGTTTGCGTCGACAGAGACGGCGCTGAGACCCAGCAGAAGGACCAGAACCTTAGCGAGCATTGCAGGGGCTAGAATTCGCAGGAGAGGGGGCACAAGAGAGAAGTGAAGTGCACTGTCCTCCTCGCTGAACACCCTCCCTATTTATCCCACTGCACCGAGCTGCATCTCCAGATCCTCTCCCCCCATGCCGATACTAATGCCGCGAGGGCCCTGAGTGCACGTCGCTCCACCTAAGGCTTCCAGCGGCGAAGCATGGCGCTGAAACACGCGGGGAGACAAGCAGCGAATGGGGTGTAGAGCGGACTGCGCCTTGGCTGACTGAGAGAACGACTACTGAGCGCACGGCACGGTGCGGCAGCTCCTGCTTTGGCGTCTTCCTTTCGGCCTCAAGTTGCCCCGAGCCGCTCTGGACGCCATCCGATGGGTTCTTGTGCACTAAAATTGAGCGCGGAATTGGGGAAGCGAGGCACGATGTGGGAGTTTATGCAAACGAGCGGCAGGCCTAATGTCCTGTTTGATGACGTGACTGATCAAGCTGGCATGCGAACCGCCACTATCGGAGCTGCAAAGACGACAGACGTTGCATTGTGACTACGATTTACAAAGGGAGGATACAAAAAGGATTGGAGGCGTTCTGCAATCAATGCAGGATGTGAGCGAGAGAAGAGGCGACAAGTCTAAGTACAGAGCGTCGAAACGGCCGCACTGGGCGGCGACAGAATTTAGAGCATCTGTGCGAGGTTATTCAATACAAAGGCTCAGAAGCTCGAATGGGCGTCGTAAAACTGGATGCCGGGCGAACGGCCCAGCTTTCGTGCCCGATGGTTTCCGAACGCAGGGGCGATGACCGCCGGCGCACTCGGAACAGCAACAGGCGCGTCGCCGGCCGAGCCTGGCGCCGAAGTCTGAGCGACCACTTGCCCGCCCACCGGCGTCCCGGTCTGCGTGGGACTGTCGCCGGTGTACGCGTAGACAGGCTGGATGAACGGCGGAGCAGGCCCGGACAGTGTCGGCGCGTTTGCTCCAAACCCGACGACGGGGTTGTTACCCGGGAGGGTTTTGATGGTTCCCGTCGTGACTTCGTCCACACTCTGAGTGATGCGACAGGTTCCACCCTGCTCGAAGGTGAAGACGCCGGCATTGGAGCAGCAGCTGCGGAGATCATGAGTGGGTTTTTCCTCAGTGGATAAGATGACAACTCACGTCGGGTCGCCGTACGGATTGCAGTTGCACCTGTCCACTACACCTTGAAGCACATTGGCATCCCAGCCCATCATGAAATCTGCAGTTGCCTTCAGCCCGTCCAACCGGAGACGGATGTTCAGCCCGCTCACCGGCGTGATATCCAAAGCCAGTTGGATCGCCCATCGAATACACAAACGGCTGGTTGGGGTTCATAGCCTGGCCGCGCAGATTCCACCAGGACGCCGTGTCGAGGTACATCTATCATAATAGAGATCAGGGTTGCTTACACCCCGAGCCGAGTCGGCGCGCACCTCCATGAAGATTCGAGGGAGTGTTTTGGGGTACTTGGGATCCGTGCATGCGCCAGAGTCAGCGCCCCCAGACGGGAATGCGACGTGCGACTTGTGGTCCGGCGAGTCCGCGTTCTTGCCATCCCAGCACCTGTCATGCTCTCAGTACCAGTAGCAGAGAAGAGAACATCTGCAGCATACATCGGGAAGTTCTGCCGCCAACATCGTCAGCACACGACAAAGCGAAAAGAATCAGAAGGACGGATGACGTACGATCTGGGCGCGCATTCCGGACGGGCATCCCTGCGCCGGAATCTGGTTGAACCGGGTGCTCACCCCGCTGAAATCGAGGCAGAGGAACGTGATGGCCTGCTGCGCGTAGTCACTCCCGTTGTAAGAGCGCAGCGTGGGATTTCCACTGATCATACGGAACTGAGAAGCATCGCCGGTGGCCAGTCAGAATCATAATGGAAGAGGGGTAGGGAGGGGCTCACGTCATCGGGAAAGGGCGTCGTCGCTCCAGGTGTGTCGGAGAAAAGGTAATCTGCGGCGACGCTTTTCAGACGGGAAAAGCTTGGACGGGAGGGATAGGCTTACAGCTGCGATGATGAGTCAGCGAAAAAGTCTCGACAGGAAGATATGAAAACACGGCCGTACATGACTGGGTTGCCCGTCACACTGCTGAATGAGCCGTTCGCCCAGCTGCAGATGGATCAATACGACAACAACCCCAAGCACTGCTCGAAGACGAACTGGAAGTAGAGAGTCTGCGTTTGGAGGACGCTTGAGCCGAAACTCCAATTTAATGGAAAAGGAACGCACTGGTGCCCACTATGAATTTCAGATCAGCGAATGACAGGCAAAATGGGCTCCGAAGCACGGCTTACATAGTTCGACTTGTCCTGCTTGATAGGCGAGGACGTACACTCGCTTGCCCGCAAGAAACTCGTGTTAGTCGTCGCGCGGAAATTGCTCCCGCCCATCACTGGCGGAAAGAGCCCATTCAGCAAAACGCGCGAGGACCCGCTATTTGTGCGAGGAATGGGCACCTGTATGAACGTGTGAAGCGACTTGTCCTGCCGGAAAAGAAAACATATCAGTGTCCGGCCCGGGGCACGGAGCAGAATCCCGTCGCACCTGGGCTGACAATTGGGTCGAGACGCTCAATGGTGATGACATCGTCTAGTGGACGCGTTCAGCAAATACGCGGCGGGGATGGCGGATATGGAAACGACGGACTCATCGCGAAGAGGAAGTACGCGTTGGATGTCGATAGCGCGGCCGCACCAGCGACCGCTGCGGCCCAAAGCTTATTGCGCAAACTCCTGGGAGACATTTCGAAGACGGAACGAACGGCCTGGGCGGCAAAAACGAATGCTCAGGCGAAAGGGAAGGGAGCCCACTCGAGGAAAAGCGAAGGCAGACGAGTTGGCGTGCTTTTCCATGGTGCTTGTGCTGGTCTTAAATAAAGCGACGTTCCTGGTCCGGAGGATCATTTACATAATCCAAGCTAGTAGCTGCTCCAGTACATAATCCAAGCTAGTAGCTGCTCCAGTACAACATGGTCCACACTGGACGCGTTCTCGGCGCCACCGTTGCCTGCGCGACGTTCAATGGAACATCCCATCCCTCATTCATGACGCTCCATAACCTTCCTCCAGAAACAGACGAGGAAGACGGAGTGCGCACATGGGCCTCCCCCCGGCAGCCCGCGACGACTTGCTGCATTGGGCCCAGAGCGTATCGCGCTCACGAATCAGCGCGAGAATCTCGTAGATCCAGCGACCAAAAATCGAAAGCAGCAATCCGGTCTGGATCGCGGTCTCTCTGCGATTTTGGGATGGCAGCTGTCTCGTGGCGTTACAGCTCGGAAGTGTTAACCTCGAGCAGCAGCAGCAGCAGCAGGAGTAGTAGCAAGAGGCAGCGAGCTGAACAGGCATCGGGACTTCCCGAAAGAGTCGAGACCTCGCTAGTCGGTTTCTTCATAGAATCGCTGAGGATGTTCGATAATTGATATGCACTTCTGTAGCAACCGCTGTGAGTCATATTAAAGCAGCTCAGGCGCGTCTAGCCGGTGTAGGCGAGAGTCAAATTGGGTCGAACAGCAAGATCGATGGCAAATACACAAATTACCATCGGTTTGCTATCCGTAGAGATGGTTAGACGCGGACCGTTGCAGCAGACGTCGACTGCCTGCGCAGTCGTCGGTGCTCAATATTCCGAGGCTTCGAGGCTAATTATTCGGTTTGCTGCGAGACGTGCCCTGCAGGTTACTCATACCGCGCGAACAGCGGTCTTGGTCCATCGAGTCTCAGAGACAGTCGTGTCTACTTGGATGTCGCAAATTAAAAAGCGTCTGGGGGGTTTTGGTGGCCGTGCCGTCATGACATCATCCATCAATTCAATTATACCGTACCACGTGCTATTTTGAACATATTACCGCATCGGGAATGCCGTGTTCAACTTATTAGTTCAGCCTCGACGACGTGTGGAATGAACCGATCTACGTTGAATCCTTTGCCATAATCTGTCCAAACAGTGCAACAGCCGATCAACCAAAGCCGTAAGTTCCGTCTGCATGAATTGCCCCCCAACGTCCCTCCGGGGCCTGCTGATCGGCGGCCCTGTCGAAAGTCAACACAACGTCAGGTAAGATTCGCCCATTTTCCTTCCGCTGCTGAGGCATTTCAGTGCAACTTGGGGATACACTGCTTTTGATAAGACGTTTGGGTGGCGGTACCCAACTCATGGAGGAAATTGGATGTTCATTCTTTCCAAGGTGCGGGATACAAAAGGAAGCAGAGAGAGGCCAGGAATGCATCCATCCATCTCTGCAACTCCTTCACAAAACCAATTCGAGATGCTCGGATTTGCCCTGATACTCCTCGTCGGCGCGTTTCTCCCACTAGTGTCCTGCGGACCCTTGGTTACCGGCGCACCGCACAACTCAAGCTCTGCTGCTGCCGGCATGGCCACGGTCTATACCAGCTGCACAACAAAGAACTTTGCTGCGCTGACATTCGTGCGTGATCTGATCCGCTCTGTGCGGGCCCGCATCATACAGCCTCTAGGATGACGGGCCGTGGGTGTACGAGTGAGTCGCGATCTATGCGCTTGGTAAAATCGAGACACTCAGGGGGATAGGGTGGGTATCAGCAACCTCCTCAGGGACAACAATGTATCGGGGACCTTTTTCGTCAGTGAGTGCGCGATGCATTCACTGTGCTTATGTTTTAAAATGCTCTCGTCGTTAGACGGGAATAATTGTGCGAGATTATCAGGATTCTCAACTCTCAAATTGATTAAGGCTACCAGATGGTTGCATATATGACGACGACATCGTGACCAGCATCCAATCCACCTTCCGCGCCGGGCACCAAATCGCGTCCCACACCTGGTCCCATCCAGATCTCAACACACTCAGTGCAGATCAGAGCAAGTCCCCGCAGATCACTCCCAATCGTTCGCTCGCTTACATCCAAATCTCGTTTAGTTGCGCAGGAGATCCAGGAACTCGATGGTGCGGTCCCCGAGCGTGCTGCACGTCGTCCACCTCTGCTCACCCGGACCGTTATCTCCTGCAGTCGCGCTGAAGAAAGTTCTCGGAATCAAGACCCGCTTTCTCCGTCCGCCGTACGGAAACTTTAACGACCGCGTCCGACAGGTCGCGGCCCAGAACGATAAGGACTATATGGTCACCTGGAACTTTGAGTAGGTTCCAGCGCGTGCTAGTCCGTTGTCGGCGACTGATAGCGCTACGCCCTATGCAGCTCGGGCGACTCTGTCGGAGAGAGCTACCAGAACAGCGAGAAAGACTATGCCAAGTTCCTCGGCGGCAATCCGGACTCGATGATCGCGCTGAACCACGAGACCATGAGTGAGTATATCCCCTTCTTTTGAGCGATCGTTGTCTCGGCTTTCAACTGCTCATTGATCAACAGAAAATACCGCGTGAGTCCGGGCAGCCTCATCAGCGCGAACTATCAGTTCCTTATCTGGTCCAGCCATTACCTTGTCCAGAACGCGATAAACCAGATCAAAGCCAAGGGCTATCAGCTCGTGACCGTCGCCCAATGCCTCGGAATAGATGCTTACGAGTCCTCCACTGGTCTTGGAACGAAAGACGTGCGTCTTTCCCTGGCTGTGTCATGGGTACTGCTCATATCGCGGCTTCCACACAGGACACCTGGGCTTGCGAGGATAACTCGTGATTCGTTTAAATACAACTAGCACACAACAACACACATACGTAACATATGTACATGGAATACATTCGGACGTTTACGCAACCCTAAACCCACCCTGCACTACACCTCGTCCCAAGCCTCATCGCACGGGCGGTCCGGCCGTCGGCTGTTGCGGCCCTTGCATGCAAACTTGCCGCAGTCTACACAGGGGCTGGGGCAGAACTTGGATCCACCCTTGCCTTTGCACTGGTCTGAGCCACATTTCGCACACCGACGAGGATGACGTACTTTGACAGCAGCGGGTCCGCCGCCGTCAGTATCGGATTCTCGCGCACGTTTGCGCGTCTCCGCTGCGGGGTCGGCTTCTGCCGCGGTCGGGGACGCCGCGGCCTGCGGGTTCGGCAGGAACGGTGGCGGAGGCGGCGGAGGCGGAGGCTGCGGATATCCTGGGATGAAGGACGGTCCCACGAACGAAATGCCGAGCGCCGGGGCGGCCAGGGATGCGTAGGGGTTGTTGCGCAGCTCAGGCCGGAGCGCCGTCGCAGCGGACCACACATCAGCAAGGCTAGGCCCAGTCTGCAGCGTTTGATCGGCACCGGCTGGGTGGCCCCGCGCATCATGTTGTTCTTCCTCTTCTTCTGTGTCTTTAATGCCGCGTCTGGTCTCTCTTACCATCCTAAGGATGAAGCTTTTCTTCATGCCACACCGCAGCGCACTGACCACTAGGTTCCAGAGCTCGCGACTCACGCCGCGGCTCGTCCAGTTCCATATATCAGCACCGACCCCCACATCCTGCTCGCCCAATCGCGCCGGGAACTCATCCGCCAGCGCCGGGGGCAGCACACGCCGGATCGACGGGTCCGTGCTCGCGAACACATGGTTGCTGGCACACACATACGAACACCCGATGATGTAAAACGGGCCCGTCAGATCGTGCACGGCCAGCGGACCCGATCGAATCCGGCCGTGGTTCACCAGCGCAGCCGCGCACGTCGGACACGCCAGCCCATTGAACACGAGCGGCTGCGGGTCCCAGTACAGGAACCGGTGCGGCGAGAGCATGCGCGACGACGCGGACGCCGTGAGCGAGAAGTAGCTCGGCGACGTCGGCAGCCAGAACGTGCGCAGGATCGAGTACAGCGTCGGCGTCGCGTTGGTGGGCGAGGCAGAGCTCGGCGGCGCGAGCGAGCCTAGATGCGATTTGAAAGCGTCCTCGATTGACACGGTGGATGATCCGGGATCGGGGGGATCCAGCGCGGCGATTAACGCCTGCAGAAAGTCTTCCGGGTGCGATCGAACGAGTTCTGACCAGTTTGCGTTGCTGGCAGCCGCGAGGGACGCGTGGGATGCGATAGGCCGCGTCGTCGTCGATGGTGGCGCGGACAGGCTCTCCATCGGCCCACCTTGGAGTGGGAACCACTGCGTGTGCTGTTTCTGTGCATCGTGGCCCATCAATCGAGACACAAAGAGCAGAGATACGACCCCGCTTACGTCTGCTGCGCTCGTCCCGAGACTCAGTCTCCCCGACCCAGGCGGCAGCCCATCCTTCCGCGGCCGTCCAACGGGCCGCTTGACCTTCACCCCGTCGGCCTCGCTTTTCTTCGTGCTCCCCCGCGGTCGACCCACCGGCCGCTTCACCACAGGCGTCGCAGGATCCGCCGTGCCCGCTGCGAGGGTCGATTTGTTCTTGCTCCCTTTCGGCCGGCCACGCGGTCTCTTTGCGGGTGTTGCAGGGTCGGCAGCCGGGGCTTCAGGCGGAGGTGCAGGCACAGCCGCGACCGAGGAAGGGTCAGCGGGTGGCTCGAGGGTGTCAGCGCCGGGGAGCGACGTGTCGCCATTCAATGTCGCAGACTGATCGGCCATGTCGCAGTAGATGGCTGCATTGCGAAGCAGGTTCACGTTAGAACCATCACGGCACGAGTGAGAAAAGAGAAATTGGATAAAATATCTTACCGTAAGTACTTATCGCTTGCTGCCAAGTACAAGAGCAAACAAGGCGTAAATAAGAAATAGGTTTAGGACACGATCACGTGCTAATAAACATGCCCAGCATGCTGATATCGGCGAACGCATACTTCAGTTTCAAGTCGTTTATTGGCGTTATCGTGGTAAAACTAATTTTACATCAATCCAGTCGTAGTCTTCATCGTCTCTGCAGTGCACTTCCACGCCTAGTTGCGTTTGAGCTCACTGACTTCGTCAGTAGGATCCGCCGCCTTCACCACAGCAGGCTCGAAATCCTCGGCATCCTTCTTATCCAGGTCACTAGATGCGGAGTCTCTCTCGGGAGACTCTATATCGCCCTTTGACCGTGCGCGTCGCTCGTCGCGGTCAACCAGAAGCTTGATGATTACTGGAGGCACATGAGCTGGAATCAACGACAGGAATAGAGAAGAACGCACCGACAACCACAAGAGCAGCGATGACAAGCCCAAATGTGGTTGGGAAACCCTTTCCTAGAAGTACTGTTAGTCTTTGCCGGCGATTAATCCGACTTGCTGATGCTCACGGAACGTCGGGGCTTCAAGTCTGAGACGGATATAAGATAAGTGATCAATAGGATAGAAAAGGCACTTGCTGAGGGAAAATGACGATCGGGAGCCAGGCTGCAACCGCATATTGCAATCCGTTCTATCGCCTCGAATAAGCCTCGGCACGTAAAATAGAACAGGCGCACATACCATACTCGAGATAACGAGTGCTCGCTCCTCGTTATCTGCACCAGTCAGTCAGCATCGGCCACTGGAGAAGAGATGTAGAGCTACGCACCTTCTTTGCAGACTTCGTTCGCCCAGGTATAGAATACAGCCGTCATCAGCTGGACACCACCGGTCATGAAAGCAAATTCCTGATGGCGATCAGTTTGATGAACATATCGATGCGGCTAGATAACACACCTTCAACTTGACAGATGCCGGCCAGAATGCGAGAATGCTGGTGCAGATCATCAAGATCTGGTCGGAAAGTGGGAGAGGTATCTTACCCATTCGGCAGCAAACCATACACTAATGGTATGAAGACCCAAGCGAAACGACTGCCAGTCAGATCCGAGAGGAATCACCACTGTTCATGTGTTGAGAAGACTTGGAGCAAAAGTAGCAAGGATACGGACCATGAAGATAGAAATAATGTTAATCAGGGCTCCGCAACTGGGAATGACATTGCGGTAGTAAACACTGAATTTCTCGGCTTCTGTTGATCGTCAGAACCTCTAAGATGTGGCTGATTTCCAAAACTCACTGAGCCAGATACCAAAGTACGCCGTAGCACCGCACGACTCGCCGTAGAGGATATATCCGAGCACGAACCAGTACCAATCTGCAGCCAAGGCTTTTTTTAGCATTCATAACAGAAGTCCGAAAGCGGACACGCACGCCACCGGCCAAAGACGCGCTTAAGCAACGCGAGATCAATCTTCCCGGTGGGCTGGCCCTTGCCGTGTCGGATCGCCCGCTCCATGGCGAACTTCTTGTCCTCCTCAGTCAGGTACCAGGCACGAGAGGTGGCGGGGACGTCCGGCAGGAAGAAGAAGAGCAGGATGCCGCTAGGGACAGTCATGCAGCCGCAGACGATGTACAGCCATCTGAGCCAATAATTTCAATGAAGTTCTGGTCGTTCCAATATGATGGGACGCGCACCTCCATCCGGCGATTCCCAAATGGCCGTCAAGGTTCTTGTACACAGCAGCTTGGAGGAATCCGCCCATAGCCGTGCCAACGGAGCCGGTTAAATGAAAGATAGCAATCTGATGGTTGGGTCAGAGGATTATATCTCTAGGAAAGGACACTACTGACCCGCTTGGCCAGTTCCGCCTTTGTGTACCTGCGTGCGATGAGTTTAGGAAATGGGAAGGCTCGGGATGTTTACCAGCTGCCGAGGATGTACAGAATGCAGCTAGACAAATGTTCAGCTGACTGATCAATTTGAGCACACGACACGATCACTTACGGGAAGAAGCCGGATTCGAACATGCCCACCATGAAGCGGAAAGCGTACATTTGTTGCTATCGCAGAGGTCAAGACCAAGCCAAAAAGAAACAGGAGTGGGAACGCACGTAGGTTTGAGCTCCAGCCTGCGCAAAGGTCCAGACTCCCCACCCAATCTCGCAAAACGCCAGGTAATACTGAATAGGCGATCAGGATCTTCGCTTGCGTTATTGCACAATAGCACGCACAGATGGCCGAATCTTTTGAATGATCATCGTTGATGGGATTTGCATGACCGCGTACTGTGCGACCCTCAGACGCAGCGAACAGGCGACGGACTAACAGGCGTACCGCAACCGTGTAGCAGGTGCCCATGCTGCAAGGAGCAGTCAGATGGGCAAGACATGCGAGACACAGAGACGCACTAGGTGTACTGGTTGCCATTGATGTTCAGATCCTCCTTCATGCCCGAAATGTCTGATCGAGCGTGAGTAACTGAATGCAGGAGGAGGTATGGGCCGCACAAGCATTGGCGAGATTGCTCTGGCTGATAGAACGTAAGTACGGACGAAGGGGGGATATAAGTGGGAATTGACGCACTCGAGGTAGCGGAAGAAGAAGCCAAGACAGGCAACGATGAGGATCCCGAAATCCAGTTTCCGCACAAACTTGCGCTCCTCCGGGGTCTTGAGGTGATCGTCCGAGTCCCAGATGTAAGATCTGAACTGTGAGAAGGGGGAGATAATCAAGCCAGTTGAAGGAGAAGGTGTGAGCTCGAACTGACCTTCGTCCAGAAAGATACACTGCCTGCCATGGTGGAGAGGAGATATTCGGAGGAGGAGTCTCAGGAGATAACCCCAGACCCATCCACGTTACTTATAAGCCAGCTTCTATTCCCACATCAGGGTGCAGGGAACGAGTCGCCATCTATCTTGATAGCGCCCAAAGAAGCCCCTCACTCGGGTGGCGCCTTCGGTGCCGCTTGTTTGCGAAGAGTTTCGCGAGATAACACAGGATAACGCTGGATAACATGTAATCTTGCTTCGAGAGCCATATCAGATAGTTCTAAGGCTCGGAGACGACCCAAGGATGGAAACACTCTCAACTACGCAGAATCATATCCACTTGATAATCCTCTGAAACTCTGGCCTGAGCGGATTTATCGCGCCTTGAGGTTGAGGATTGGGACCATCTTCTGGGAGCATGTCGTAGTCGCTCCAGTCAGCTGATCTTACCATCATTGATTGCCTGGCACCGCCACGCCCATAGCTTCCCACGTCTTCCTGCCGTAGTGCTATTTACTCACGTCAGGTTGGTGCTTATCCTCTCTTATCATTGCGAGCTATTGCGATTCTTCTGGAACACCGCGCTGACGGCAACCCAGCGCCCTGATTATTTATCCCTTCTGACCGACGCGGAATATCTGTATGCCAGATTCTGGCTAGTCCTGACACAGCTGCTACGTACTTATCTTTGACGTTATTCTTCTCGTAGAGTCCCCGACCTCGTATCGCCATGCCCCTCATCGCCTGCGGCCAAATATGCTCCACTAACGACGTCGGACACAACCTCGCCATCTCTGTGCAGCTCGCCCGCGACGCGGCCGCCCAAGGGGCGACCGCGCTCTTCCTCCCCGAAGCCTCCGACTACATCAGCAACAACGCACACGAGGGATACCTCCTTGCCGCGCCGCTCGCCTCTCACAAGTATGCGCTGGGTCTGCAGGCGGTCGCGAAGGAGCTCGGGATCTACATCAGCGTGGGGATCCACGAACGTCCGGGGCCCGAGGACATGGCCGGGGAGGCACCGGGCAGCGAGCGCGTGTTCAACACCCACGTCTGTATCTCTCCCGATGGCACTCTCAAGGCCTTCTACCGCAAGGTCTGTAGCCGGCCCTTCACCCGCTTGATCGTGTGCTGAGCTATATTCCGCCGCCAGTTGCACCTCTTCGACGTGCAGCTCAAGGAGTCGTCGGCCGCGAGCGCGGGGGAGTCCGACCGCATGATCCCGGGCGACAGGGTCCCGGAGCCCGTGGACATGGGCGCGCTGGGGCGCCTGGGGATGGAGATCTGCTACGACATCCGCTTCCCGGAGCTGCACACCATCCTGCGGCGCAAGGGCGCGGACATCATCGCGATTCCCGCGGCGTTCACGCTGCCTACTGGGCGTGCGCACTGGTACACGCTCGTGCGCTCCATCGCGATCGCGTACCAGGTGTATGTCGTCGCCTCGGCCCAGGCCGGCGCGCACACGCCGGCACGGTCCTCGTGGGGCCAGGCGCTTGTGTTCGACCCCTGGGGCCGCGAGCTGGGCCGCCTGCCCTCTATCGACGAGACGGCTGATCCGTCTAAGCCGATGCCGTCTCAGTTCGTGCTTGCGGAGATTGATCTGGCTGTGGTCGAGTGCGTCCTTTGGTCTTGTACATACCGCCTTTCGACTGACCCACGCTAGGAGCGTCCGTGAGCAGATCCCTCTTGCTTTCCAGAAGCGAGAAGACGTTTATGGCGTTGTCGGCCGCGACGCACTGGCACTCGCCCCAACAACAACAACGGCGGCGGCGGAACCCTATCTGCTGACACGGCTGTGGAAAGGAATTCAGAGCATGCTTGGGTACGGCGAGCCCGCCATCCGTTTACTTCCGAGCCACAACGACGAGAAGTCGACGAGGTACTGATCTATCACTTATGTTGTCGTTGATATCAGTGACTGGACTACATGGCCAGTTTTGGCCTGCTGGATGACAGAATAAGCCTGAGGATGATTCATCGGCAAAAGGTCCGACGTTCGATACTCAGTCCAGGCGCTGCGCTACACGGATTCCGGCGCCGCCCGATTCATCCACGATTTCGTTTCCCGCGTAAATTCTTGCTGTGAGCAGCGATCAGTCTTATCTGAAGTGAAGTGCCAGTATGCATATATGCGTGAATGAGACCAGATTGATCATCTTTACATTCAATCTTGCCGAGCGACCTTCGTCCTGTTAATTGTACCCCACATGGAGCAGTCCAGTCATGGATGGTTCTTCTGCAGCAGAGATCGCCATTTTCGCCTGTGCAGGATTAGACGAATGATTTGTGAATGATAATGCTTCGATCATGTACTCTGCGATGAGACTTTTAGAAAAATTGGGGGGTTTGTGAAGTGAGAGGGTGAAATGCCTTTATCAAGTCCACTGCGGATTGCAATGTCCAAACCAACTATCAGTGCTTCAGAATCTCGACAGTAAGTCATCTATAATGAATCTCGGGAATTCTTGAACTCTCAAGCTCATATCGAAAACGGTTCTGGTAGTCGTCCGTCAAGAGACAGGCAGCCAGAAATATTGACCAAAAATCGAGCATTCGAAGAAGGTATTTAGCACGGATTTGGCAGCAGTCGTATCTTACGTGCCGAGACTCATCGTAATGTTGTAAGAGACACGGGCGGGAAGACATCGCGGCCTGCACGGAAAGATTAAAAATGACGATCGATGGGGGATCTATCGGCTGGTGTATTTTCCGCAAAAGGAAGTCTTGTTCGGTTGATAAATTGACGCCCTCAGTCTCGCCCTCCTGGTCCTTTCAAGGAACACCCCTGGGCAGTCCAAGGCTGCAAAAAACACGGCCTCAACCGCGAATTGAACGCGGGACCTCTTCCATACTGTGACCTTCAGCAGATCGGACTATCAGACCCGAAGGAAGAATCATACGACTAGACCATTGAGGCGATGGGACGCCGAGCCCAGACAATACTATTACTGCCCGCGCTTTACACGTTTTGAATCACATTCAATCCACTCTCAAGATCTACTTCTGTTCTTCATGATCAGACAACGGTCACAGAAAATGCTTTGAGCTTGTATAATCGGAACCACTTTCGCATTCCAAGATGTTGTGCTATAACGTTTATTGCCAACCTATTCTGAAGACCCAAAATCTCATTTTCCAAGACATGCCAATTTCACCTGCCATCGAGACTTGACACAAAAAGCCATCCGAATCAACAGTGCCAGTCGACCTGGGGCGCGTCCTGGTCAGCATCTACCACAGAAGCCTCCACTTCAACTCACCGTCCTGTTCGTCGGCGTGGTCCTGTTATAGTACGCGTCCACACCGATGCACTCGGCCACGGTGATCAGCTTGTACCCGGCCTGCACAAACGAGTTGACGACGTGCGGCATGACTTGCGAGCTGCTTGCTGTGAGACGGCGATCAGATCGCGTGGTACAGATGGCTTACGCGGTGGTTGCTAAAACGGGGGCAGTCAGTAAACGCCTGGCGATGCACAGGGAGGGGGACGAACGTGTAGTTTCCTCGTTCAGGGCAAGCATGTTAGTGATGGCGGACGCGACCTGTGAGTCGTACCCCGCCTCGATATCCGACGGAGAGCCGTTCGTCCCGCTGCGACTCCGCTTAGCGTTTAGAATGCGGAACAAGGAAGAGTTCACTCGTAGTCCCACAAGACGACTGCCGGCTTCGTCTCGCCGACGATTGCGAGGACAGTGTCGTTGAAGCTCCCGAAGGCTAGTATGCTTTTGTTCAGTCGTTTGCTCGCGCAGGAAAAGAAAGACAACTTACGCGGAACCAAACACGTCGGCATCGCACCGACGATGCGCGACATCGCAACTGGAGTGGCAATCTCAGCGCGAGCCAACCAAGGAAACAAACGGACACACGATCGAGTTTGGATACCTGTGTACGCAGATCGTTTGCAGACAGTGTCGTGAGATCCAGATGCGACCACGTGAGGGAAGCGAGCTGGTGGCCGGCCGCGAATGCGTATTTGAGGTTGTTGACCTGTGTGGCGCCGTAGATGCACGCGTAGTCCGCGCCGTCTGTACACAGGTCGCGCTCTCAGACAGGCAAGACGACATGAGGTTGAGAGAAAGAAAACTGACTAAGGAGGAACGTGCAGTGCCCGCCGGCGCTGGTGAAGATGTCGCTGATGTTCCGCCTAGTCTGATCGTGAATGAACCATCTCTGCGCGCAGCTACGGATACGCACGTGTATAGATACGGAGAATCAGCCTATTAACCATCTGGGAGTGAGTGTGCAGTCGGAAAATGGTGGGTCCGAACGACTCAACGAAGGTCATGGCAACAGTTTGCGGGTCCTTGCATCCCGTGTACAGAGTAGCAGGACTTCCCTGGCGCGTCGTGAGTGTCAGTCCAGCGCACACCTGCGCAGCTGCTGCGAGAAAGATCAGGGCGGTCTTGCGCATGGTGCTATCCGTGGGTGAAAGGGAGAGTCCGCGTCGTCTTCTTTATACATGAGTCCTGAGGTTCCGTACTAACCTTAAGAGCACGTTCTCTCCGAAACAGCGCACGAAGCCAGGTCAGAAGCACAGCGATTGAGTTACGCGTCCGACGCAGGACTTCGCGGGCATTGCACGATGAAGCATATCCGGAAGAGGGGACGCGATTTGGTGACACTGGAGGACACGAGGGACCTGAGAAATAGTGCTTGGTCTTCCGTAAGGAGGGGTCCAGCGCGGAGAGCTTGCGAGGGAGATTAGACAAGATCGCTGAGGACCGGTCGATGGGCGTAGTAAGGCAAGAGGAGAGGCCAGTTTAGAAGCGACGCATATTTGTAATCCGTACCTAACTGTAGATGGTATGTACGTAAGAGACCGTGAAAGCCCGCGACCGCGTCTGCAGCCGCTTGTAGTCTGATGAATACAGGACAGTGTAGATCCAAACGAGAACGGAGCCGGCTCAGACGAACATAGCAATCGCACCCATCTCCGGGGGATTCACCCACTCCCCATTGATCTTGTCGCTGCGGTGTCCCCGTGCACAGCCAAGAACGGGACAAGCCCAGTCGTGCTGAGCTTCAACAACTGGTTTCCGAGCACGCTTTCCCTTGGACTTCGCTTTGGGTTTGGGCCGGGAAGCTGGCACTCGTGATATCGTATGAGTGGACCTCTCTGCGACACCGAGCATCGCACGAGAGCGCAGTCGTGTGGAAATAGGAGCAGGGAGGAGACCGGAAGCGTCATCCTCTACATCCGTCGGATCGACTTCCTCCATGCGATCTCGAGCCCGTGCTTTGCCCTTTCCCTTGCGTTTGCTGGGGGGAGCGGGTGCTTCCTCTTCTTCCAGCGGCTTATACAATTCTTCAAGGCACTTGCCGTCGATTACATGCCCGCATCGAAGTCCCCACACGCGTCGCCTGCGGACCTCGTCGGGGGTAAGGCTGTTATCATTTGACCCCAGAAGAAGCGGATCGGAGCATCGCGCACATGCCAGTGCCGTACTCGTTTCGTTCGCTTCACCCTCGTCAACTATATCGATGGTTTCCACCGGCGCAAAGTCGCCGACGAACCCGTCCTCGAGACGCGCGGGATGCGTCCACTCGGTTTTGTACTTTACTTCCTCCGCGCGCGGCACGATGGGTAAGCGCTGGATCCCGTGATCCGGCCAGAGGCCGCGAGGAAGAAGCCGTTCTAGCAAGAGCGTGTCGTCGTGTGCGCGCGCGAACGTCGGCAGCGGCTGCGCTGCCGCGGGCGGTGGCCCGAATCCAAAATCCACGGCCCAGCGCAGAGGGTTGAAGCCGGCCAGGCGTTGAAGGATGCCCGGGGCGGTGCCATCCGCTTGGCGGTGATAATCTGGGGGTTCCATGATATTCCAGGGGGCGATTGAATCTGCACGGCGTGTGGGGTATTGCGCTGTCGGCGGAGAGGCTTCGCGCTGCCTCCGGCGTGTGCCACGGACTGAAGAAGCGCGTGGTTGTCCTTGTTGATGGTTAGGACGCGGTCGGAAGAGAGAAATCACGACAAAGCGCGCACCACTTCTTGAGCTTTCTGCCACTACTGTGTGGAAACCGCGTGCTAAAAGGCTGTGTCGATAAAGAGCAGATCATGCAAAGGGGAGGTTTACCAGTGACAGAAACAACACTGCCCGATACAATATTGATTTGAGGTCGTTCATCGTCACTGTCGAGCAGTTCTATGATCTCAGCTGGCTCCGAGCCGCGAGGCCTGCGTGATGGGCGTAGAACGTCGTCTTCATCGAGGGCATCGACATCGATGATTTCGGAAGCGAAGACTTGAAAAGGAGGTGTTTGTGAGTGCGACGGCATTGGAAGTTTGACGTTATGGAGTGGCGAGAAGTTGGCGAGAATCAAGTGGCTAATGACAATGCACTGAAGATCACTAAATGCTGTTTACGTCTGTTATTCAGGTATGATGCTCACAGCCACAATAATTCCGATCTTTTTCGGGACATGAGATATCCGCATATTTTGCACGTATATTCAAGAGAGTGAAATAACTGAAGCGGATTCCTTTCCGGTGTTCACATCGTCCCTGCATCTTCCAGAGACTTTCCAGTTTCCAAGTTCTGTTGGGGCTTGTCACTTTCACGTTTCAACCATCCGCCACCGCATCAGAATCCTTTTACGCAATTGGCTTCTCTCACCGTCCACGGGAGCCCAACATGCCGAAAACCCTCGGGAGCGACCCTGATTCGGCTCCCCGACGGAGCACGGATGATTTCCATTTCTTTCCATACATGGACGATGTTTTTCCATGCAAAACTGGCCACGGATCTTCTGTCAGTGGCTCTGGATAAGCCGCCGAGGCTTCTATGATTGAGTTTAAGGTCGATGAGTAACCTGAGGGTTCTTTCCTGGTCTCGCCTCTTACATCTTCCTCCCATTTTTCTGCGCCCATGGCATGATTGTTTGCAGAATGGAAAACAACATATCACTGACTCACTTCCAGACGCGCCGCCCCGACGAAGCAAAAAAAGCCTGCGAAAGAAAACACGTGTGTTCGACCTGCGACGCCCGATTTCTCTCGAGCAGTCACCTCATGCGGCACACCACGGTGCACACCAAGGAAAAAAAGTTCAAGTGCTCATTCCCACAATGCAACGTCGCGACAGCTCGATCCGATAATCTCCGCGTCCAGTGCGTGTTATAACTGCCTGGTTTGGGCGTGACCAGGCTCAACTTCGGGTGTTGAGCCAGTTATCGAATACATACGTCTACAGATGCACCCCCGCCCACCTCCGCATATTCGAGTTCCGCCGCGGCCTTTCCTGATCCCAGCCCGAGTCCTGGACCGAACACCGATCCTACTACACCATCGAGGGACAAATTGGCCTACCGACTTGCTTTCCAGCGCGCGTGGAGACACTGCCAACCCCGATATGTCTTTGTCCCGGAAGTCCCGCCCGCCCTGAACGATTCGAGATACGACGAGTCGGATTGGCTGGATCTGCGGTGTCTTCCGGACGACTCGTACCCGCGCCCAAAATTGCAGGACTGCACTGTCCGTCCGGGGTCGGTTGAGGAGATGCCCAGAGAGACCGCATGCGTTTACTACGAAAACGCTGGGAATCACAGGATGGAACTCGAGCCTGGCAAGGTCTCCGTAGGGGGATCCAACTACATCGTGCCGCATCCCGAACTCGACTTATCTCCTCTCTCCGACAAATTTCGCCAAGTCCAGGCCAGTCTTGCTGGGGATACCCAATCTACGGAGCTTCCCGAAGACCCGCTGTACTTTTTCCAACCCCCATCTGATTCGGCATCTATCTATGCTCCTGCTGAAATCGATCCATGCAATGCTGCCCAGGCATATGCTTATTATGATTTCTCAAGTCAGCTACTGCCTTCGCTTTTACCTCGTGAATGTTGAAAATATTTGAACTTCCTCTCCCTCACTGCCTAGGTCAATGACAGATTCAATACATGTGTATGTATATTTGGCAAAATAGTACTCAAGGAACGTTTATAAAACACCAGATACAATGACTGTAGATAGATGTCCCTATAGTACATACTGTATCCTTATCAACGCAGTCCCAGCACCCGTTGATCTACCGACAGAGTACTGTGATGCGCGTCCACTATGACAGGAAATCATCCGAGTCTACATAATCTGGACTTCCATCTTGATTTTTGACGCCCATCATGTACGTCAACCGATATCCAGGGTTCTTTACATATCGTCAAGCTCCCGCTCTTCCAGTGCCAGCTTGTCACCCACATTTACGTCCGCTCAAGCAGTGCAAACGCAGGCGGACGCACGATGTCTCGCATGGCACCGCTGCCCAGCAGCCATGAGGATCGGTGTTTCTTGGACGTTCCGCCACTAAGAGACCTGTTCCGAGCATTTGAGTGCGCATCGGCAAGAGGCAATCGCAGGCCTGGAAGAAATTGGGACAGTAACACACCGCAAGACAACCCGCGAACACTAGGTCTGGACGGGGAGCGGAAGCTCAAAGTGGTGCAAGCAGTAGAGACTTGGATCGAGAAGGACCGAAGCGGGGACGCGGTGTGTTTGTTCGCCGCTCTCCTTCGTACAGGGCTCTCTGACGAGCCGCCGGTGATCGTCGAAAGCGCAAATCCATCGAGCGATGGCGCGACCTTTCGTTTGGCGCCATGTCATTTGAACGAACGCGCCCCTCCCTGTGCTCCGACGCTATGGTCACCTTGGAACACTCTGGACGGATTAGTCGGGCCCTGGTCGAATGTTTCGCTGACTATCAGTGGTGTTTGTACCGCCGCGAGGATGTCGGTGCAAACGCAATGTTATGAGACATGTACTAACCACAAGTAGGATGCCGCACAGGCCATCTTGCACGAGTTCTACCTCGAGGGATACAAATGCTCACTTCCGACACATCGAAGACATCCAGTGCCCAGTCGCCCGAAGAAGCTACGCATCTCTACCACGACGACAGGTCTCGAAGACGATGTCCCGTTGAGCGACATGTCATCCATCGACGAGGAGAACGATATTTACCAGTATCTCGATCTGAACACCCCAGTCAGCTGTGCAGAAGATGGAGACCCCGCTGTGCAGCTTCGCATGGCCATCGAGGCACCAACGTTGCCCTCTACTTTTGTCTTCCCGTCAGCGTCGAATTCAACGCTCTCTATTCATTCGGACGCGAATCCAGGTCCTGTGGGGTGCGCCCCAGTCGAAGATTCATACACAGAGATGTCGGAGCCCTTACCAGTCAGTTTACGTCATGTGTCTATCTCGTGTTTTCTTGACCTACCCTACCCGCGCAGAATTCAGCCCTGATTTCCTTTGAAGACGCGCCCCCTCCAATCTTACCTGAGAGCGTGGAAACTATCTCCACCCCAGCAAAGAAAAGGAAACACTCCCACGCGAATCTGGGTGCTGCGCCGTTGACAAGAAGTCGGACTTCGGCTGCGGACGGGACCGCTGTTATGGACGATTCGGGGAAGAAAGTGAAGCAAGAGCCGAAGGGAGAATCGGTGTGTGTAGCGAAGCCCTGCCTCAAGTCATCTTTGCCCTGACCCCTCCGTCTAGGACGAATGGAAGGCAATACGTCAAGCCAAGGTCGTAGAATTTGTCGCAGACCATAGCCGAGACCATCTCGCTCAACTCAGAAAAAGCAAGAAACGTGCGGCCAACGACCGACTGGCGGGCGAGTCACCGACTAAACGAGCACGACCGCCAGTCTTGAAAGCCCCGCCGGTCTACGAAGCTCAAGTTACAGCAGCCCAGAGAAAACGCAAGTCCGCGACAGTCCGGACCAACACTCCGCCCATGACTACGGTGAAGATAGAGGAGACACGCATCAACACACATGGCGTTCGGATCGTACGGGGACCTCCGTTGGCATCGAGCAAACGACCGCCCTCGGATACAAGAGCGAAGCCGTCAAAAGCAGCGAAGAAGCCGAACAATGGTTTCAATAGCAATCAGACCGCCAGGAGCCAACATCTGAAAGAGCCACTGCCCAAAAACCCGGGCCAGGTCAAAACGAGACCAGTCGGCATCCAGCCCGTGCGTTCGGTTGTCTCTGATGCGAGCTTTCGGATCGTTAATGTCTTTAGACCCCCACAATGATCGACACGCGTTCGGTGAAGATCGTCCGCTTGCCGGAGTACACAAAATTGGCACGGATACCAAAACATTCTAAATCGGCTACTGAGGATGTGGTGCATCCTGTGCCCTGCGAGCAGAGCAATGCGATCTTACCGCCCCAGACGACGCCCGGTCCATTCAGAATATCCACTCCTGTAATCCAGACAAATCCGATTCCAATGCCAGAAGTTTCAGGAAAGGACAAATCTGACCAACCTCGGCCCGCATCACAGTATCCATTGGAAGAACTGCCTCAAAGCGATCCACCATTGAAGCCAAAACAGCCCTTGAATGGCTTCCCACCAATGTGGTCGGCCTCGCGGCAAGAGATGTGCGAGTCGTCGCGGTGGTTCCGGTCGTACCAGGGCGGAGTCTATCACAAGGACGGTGTCGTGAAGGGCTATTTTCTCAGTGCGTTCAGCGCCAGGTGCGTGTTTCCCTCTCCCTGGCGGGGACCGTGAGCTTAAGCACACCATCAGACGGGACACATTCGAGCGCTCCGGCAAGCTCATCATCTCGCACGGCGGCGGCAAGTGCGATACCGATCAGACACGCACGGACGCATCTGTGCGTGCGCTCATCGGCGCCTACGAGCAGCAGAACCCGCTTGTGCTGTTCGTCGACGACAAGTACGCGCACTTTCCGCTCGATCTCGCCGGGCGCGATGTGTACATGGCCGCGCTGGGGTTCTACCGCGTAGTGCACTATTGGGGTGTGTGTGCTGCTTTGCTCTGCTTGCTCATTCATTCGTTCGGTGGGATCCGGCTGACAGCGGGACAGCCGAGCAGCAGGACAGCGCGACGCGTGCCGTGGTGCGGTACAAGTTTGCGTTCGAGTGGTGTGAGGGGCAGGGCGAGCCGTGGTGGTTGTCACATGCGATGCTCCCCGTTGTAACTGAACAAGTTGCGTCGAAGTGCGTGGGCCAAGTTTCATGAGGCTTGGTCACTGAATGAAGTTCGCAGACCAGATCAGGCGCCATGTCCCACTGAAAGACCCCAAGCGTGGGCTACGCTTGCAGATCAGGCGACCATGCATCCTTCAAAGTACGTGATTTCTGAGGTCTTATGCCACGTCTTGACGAGTCGCAGATCCAATCATCAGCTGGCGTTCGACGGGAAGGCTTACGAGTTCAGATCGTTTGGGATGGTCGGAGAAGCCGCAATGCCACAGAGGCTGGTTGCGCAGTCTCAGGTGCACTCCAGCTCAATTCGGGCCGTTCCATCACTCTCAAGCGTTCCCTCCGGGCCGTCTTTCGGTCCAGATCCCTATAACATGATGGTCCGACTACATGAGATGTCTGACTTCTGGCATGTTTTTATCAGTATAGTTGTTCTGAGACACGCTGAGATATATCGCAGTCCCATTCAATATTCTCGTAACGCATCTGGTTTATCGATCGGTGATCCTTCTCATACCGGCCAATTCGAAATGATGGAACGAGACGAGACACCTGTCTCACGGCGAGTTATACGACCCGCTCCTGCGGGCGAGTCCAAGACACAGAACATGCCATCGCCCCCCACTTCGAGTGCAAGCGTCGACTGCGTGGATCCGTTTGGTGTGGTATACGATGGTGTTCTGTCTGACATGAGGTCCGCAAGTGAAGTAATGCTGCCGGTCCAATCTCGGTCTGAAATAGTCTACAGACCGATTCAACCTCCTCGTCTCTATGCAGTTTGTCCCCACTGCCGCTACACCTCCCCACGGGTGTATACACTTGACGTTTGCTTGAACCAGGGCTGCTCCTCGTTCTGGACCCTGCAACCCGGCGAGCAGATCGAGTACAGGAGGGAGTTTCTGGAGACTGTGATGAACTCGACGCCCATTCCAAAGGAAATGGTCACTGCACTCTTACCTCGCCAGCCGAGCGGAGGGACGAGCGGCACATCGTACAAGGACAGCCGCGGGTGGCATTGCTTCAGTTGTGGGCGGGTCTCGTGCCGATCCGCATGGGACATGTATCAGTGCCCGACACCGACATGCAACGTACGTGTCACCATATTTGCACCATTGTAGATGAGGAAAGAACTGGCAGCTACACATAGTTCTCTCAGCGCATCATCACCGCGATCCGCCCTGCTTCCTCGTTTGCGGGACTGTCGACAGCGCTGCTTGGCGGCTCGCGAGAGTGGGTGGCCAGTCCTGACTCGGGCATCAGCGTACTCGAAAAGATGCCGTTTCACCACCACTGTCGGACTGCCGGCACGGGGTTCGTCCAGACGTTTGTCCTCCCGTACGACAAGGGCCGCATCCACGTCATCCGCGGGTCGGCAGAAGCGACGGCTGCTGAGGTGGACACGGTATTCGAGGCGTATCAGGCTCAGGCTGGGAGTGGGGCGTTGGCGTTCAGAAGATGGCCGCTGAGAAATGTGAGTATTGTTTCTTCGATTAGGCTTGGTTCTCAATGTATTGCTAGCACAAGCGTATGTATGAGGCGGGAAATGTCTCTACATTCATGCTCACGATGCGCAGTGCGAGGAGCCCTCCTTACGAACTACTTCTCGCAAAACTGCAAGTATGCCCCAGCCGATTACTAGATATAACTGATGCGCCTCTAGCCGGGGAACGATACCACTACGTCGGTGCAACAGACCACACAGTGCCGTTCGCCCAAACTGCGCCCTGCGTCATCCACGCCCGTGACCTCATCCAGCGTCGATGTTGTGAGGCTCTTGGCCACCAGGACTTTGTCTTCAACGAGGTGCTGAGCGCGGGGTACATGGAGCGGCAGAAGATGGCATTCCACAGCGATAGCGAAAAAGGGCTCGGGCCGAACGTCGCGGGGTTGTCGATGGGTGCGCTCTCGCTCGCGTCATTCACTTCTTCCACGTATTGACTCGCCTACAACAGGCGCGCCGGCGGTGATGCACTTTCAGCCCACGCTCAGGTATGCGGAGCACCTCAAGACGCTTGATGGCCCGGGCGCTAAGACAAAGACGAAGGGGGTCCGCACGTGTCTCTCCGTTGTGCTGAAGCACGGCGATGTGTGTCTAATGGAGGGGACTGGGGTTCAGGACTTTTACCAGTGCGTGCGGATCGGTTTCTCGCTGTCATCGGTTGGCTGATGAATGCGCGCTGCTCAGACATACGGTCGTCCCGTCAAACTTCCGGATTGCAGCGACGGCGAGGTGGATTGAGCCCAGCCACGAGATCGCTGGTGGGGCTAGTCGCGTCGTTGGCGCCGAGGCAAAGATTCCGTGAGATGAAAAACGGAAGAAGTGTGTTCAAGTCTTGTCTACTGTGTATATCAACATAATTGTAGTGAGGGGCATAAAGTCACATACCTGTAGAAGTCTTGTTTGAAAGGCAGGGGTCGACTGTCGAGGTCGATGAGGGCATTGAAAAATCCACGAACGATGGGATTGGGCGTGGATCGAACTCTATACCCTGGTTTTCTCTCGGGGCCCGGGCATCACAATATCCAGTGATTGACATGGGACGTTGTGCTCCATTTCCATTGCCTCTACAGTCTACATCATGTTGTCAGGACCCACACCGCAGCCTTGAAGCTGTCCTTGTCTTTCGGTGCCTCTGTAAACCTTGAGCGTTTTCGCCCAAGCATGTGCGTCTCGCCAGACCATACACTCAAGCACGGCAACATTCGTGTGTCCACCATCTCGGTGCTCGGCAACCTCGTTCTTCGACCCAAGAACCCGCGGTCTCGCGCTCGGTGGAGCTGAGGGGGATATGGGCCTGCTTAGAGCGTTAGAATTCTTCAGTGGTAAGGTAAGCTCAAACGGCAGCAGGAATTGACGTCGCTGTTGTTGCAGTCTCTCAACTGTGTGGTATCAGCTCGCCTAATGGGAATTGTGCACGCTTCGTCTCTGTGCTCGAACAGCAATCCCTCGGTCGCATCCGGTGTGCGTATGCCGTGCAACGAGTAACGTACTCGGTGGAAAAGGGGCTAGGCCTCGCACTCATCGCTATTTTGGCTTGATCAGACTGGCTCGCTCTTGCTTTCCCCTCCTTCTGCATCGACTGCACAATGCCTTCTATTGATCTCCCTTCGAATACTTCCAGCCGCTCTTTCGCTGCACAAACGGCTTCACCGGCACCCCATCGCCCGAAGTGCCCTCTACCTCAAAAGCTGGGGACTGCCACGCCCGACGTTTTCTCATATCGCGCTCCTCGTGACCACTTCGAACATGCCCCCATCCCCTCGAGGCTTTTCTCGCCCTATACAGAACATCTTGGCCTATCAACGGTAGCATCTCGCTCAATCCGGGCACTGCCGCAATGGCCGTCTCGACTGTTTCCATCCAGGAGGCCTACCCCCAACGCGCCTTCTACCGAGCAAGACGGCTACAGAATCCCCTTTCAACGTTGTATTCCAACTGAATCCGACGCGGAACTCAAGTGCTACTCATTCGGACCGATCAAGTCTGCGCCAAGCACCGGTCGCGTTGGCTCCGTCGCTCAAGACACCCATCAAGCGTCCCCGCCCAACGTACTACCGGAAACTCTGAATGCTGCTCGCTTTCTATCTCAAAGGCATCCACCGCTACGCTGCAACGCGAAGCCCTTCGCTCGAGACACTGTTCCGAACCCACCCTTTGCTGCAGTCGCGCCTGCGGGTGACACCGTGCGTTCGAGTCGAAAGAGACCCAAGCTTCTGAATCGCGTAAAGCAGGCTATTGGATCTGTCCTAAGGCTTCCCGCTAATGGCGGCTCGCATTCAAGACCATTCAAGTCCCCGAAAGAGCTCTCCGTCAACAGATTGCTTCCTTCCTCAACATCCTCGTCTGCATCCGCAGTGCCGAATTCCCTCTTTTCACGCCTAGATGGCATACTTGTGCAGCGCACCGTGCAGAACGACTCCCCTCCTACGATCGCAGCAGCAAAGTCTTCCGGCTGCGCAAAAGCTGGCATCGTCGCAGCACGAGAGTCTGATGGGTTACCCTGCTCACCACAGGTAGCTCAAGGTCGATCCCCGCTGCTTGCGCGCTATCCTTCAATCGGGCAAGACCGAGTCTTCTCCTGCTCCCCTCTGACACCAAGTCCGCGAGAGAGATCCGCGCTTGAGACGAGGCTGAAGGCACTTGACCGGACTGTCGATCTGGCCGCACTCGAAGTGGAGAACTTGGGCGTCTTGCCCGTTGCTTGTAGGGACGTTCTCGGTCGGACCCTCGCTGTGCAGGAACGCTTCTTATATCGAAAACGAGGCGAGGTGTATTGGTCGTTCGGGGTCGTGTATGAACTGTGGAAACAGCTACCGGATGACGTGCTGAGTAAGTGCGCATTGACGGTCTGTTTCTTTTTCTTCTCGATCCATTTATTGCCACATTGACGTTGCTCGTCAGCGCCTTCGAAGCCGCTTTGTGCAGGACAGCATTTTGTCTGCATTGTGGGACAGGATTGGGAATACCAGTCATCTCGGAATGACTAGAAGCACAGCGCTGCTGATCGCTGTTGGAGTTACCGCCAACAGCTCACCAAAGGACTCCTTGTCTTGGGTCAAAACACTCATCCAGCCTATTCTCGACATTCTTGTTTTCCATGCCGAAATGTCAATTGTTTGGTCAGAATATACCGTACACCCTGCAACTGACTATCCTGCGATGTAGTTTACCCTCTGTTCCTACTCCAGCTGCAAAGTCGGATATACTCGCCGAGCAACAAGGAGAGCGTCGTGTGCTGGAAGTTGTCTACGAGGCTACTCAGTGGTGAGCCACTAAGTGGTTCTCTTTGTTTGCTTACAGTTTCTCTCCAGTGCCTCACCTTTGAAGAGACGATCCTCATTCACGCACGGGGGAGGTCAGCCCCTCAGCATCGTGTGTCCACCGATACTCAGCCTTTGTTGTAGTATCTACATCGCTCGCACCACCCAACGCTCAAAGACGAAGGATCAGCGATTCCGCATTCCTGGGGCGACCCTCGATCAGCACCACAGGTGCCCCTTACTCGTTTCTCGGGGTTTGCGCTGGCTGAGATCAACTAGGGCAACTCACGTTGACGCAGGAGATTCGACTTGGGATTCTCTGCCAGACCATGGACGCGAGCCTTCACATGGAGTTTGGCCAACTATCCCGACAGTTTTGGATGGATATCATCAATTCGCCGGAGATCCGGGGCCCACTGGAGACCTTGGGCGATGCTGCTATCCGGGCCGTGCTGTTCGATCTGCTTGTCGAGGAAGCCAACACTGCCAAGATCAAACAGGTAGACGACTTGATCAAGGTCAAAGCACATGTATGCGCTTTATCGATGTGCTAACTGTCTTCTGTCTAGAATGCTCTTGGGCCGCTGCTTGAGAACAACACTTTCCAGCACATCATGATCGAAAAAGGATTCTACGAGCATTCCGGAGATCACAAGTTCTACGGAAATGCACTCGAGATCGTGGGGGGTTCCATATACGTACACGGTGGGGCCATTGCTTTCCGGCAATGGATTCATGCTGTTTTCCCGTGTCTAGTGAGAGCTGCAATCAAAGCCTTCGATAGCTTTCACCGGTGGGGCTGCACGTTGGCTGCTTTGACCTCGATGCTGACTTCACCAGGGAACCCACGCAGGACGAGCTCAAGCGCCGGACAGATAGGCGTGCGCGAATGCATCCTCGTGCGGGTGAGTTTGACCCCGATGTCGTGGAAACACCGAAGGCAAAACGACAACGGGTTGGCGGACGTGCTATCGAGATACAACAGCCACAGAAGAGGAGGAGGAATGGACCCGTTTCCGGTCGCTCGAAGAAACGGGCGGCGCAGCCCGTCGTCGCTGTCGAGGTCTGCATATACTCTGCTTCTATAATCATGAGCTTGAAGGTCATATCATGCATCAGAACGAAGGATCGCTTGCTGCTGGCCGAACGCGATCTGCGAAAGGCCGGTTTGATGGTGTTCAGGCTGTGCGTACTCTAGACCTTAGCGTGTTCCAGGTGGTAGCTGACATCTGTATTATTCCTTCAGCACCAGGCGTCCTCACCCTCGGCATCGATCAGGATTCCTCGAGCGCCGAAGCCGTTGGCCAGTTTGAATGGTGTCCCGTCGGGGCTATTCACGTTTAGGATGCCACCGTGTAGCACCGAGTGGGGTAAAAACAACTACATGTACTAGCACATCTTGTGAATACAAAGCTATGCATCCTGAGGCCCACCTGGATCCGCGTTTTGCTTTAGGAAAAACGTCGCGAAACAAGTAATGTCCGTGAATACTGTGTTTGGGAAGAGAACTATCCAGAATCAAGACATTACGCAAGCATCATCAACCATTGAGTGATCGACAGTGAAGTGGACGTTCTTTGACACGCCTCTGGGTTGACGACTTGCATGTGCCGAGTTCCACTGAATGCCCTCGGCGCCATACTTATCCGTCACCGCCGTGGGATCAGAACTTTGACGAAATGCCCATTCCCGACAGTGTGACAGGCTCCTCAAACATGTCTCAGTCACGGCGGCGTTCGCGTGCGGCACGCGACGTGCCTACGATCTTGAGCACTTGCGTTTCTTGGCTCGAGAACCCATTGCCTCGCCCGCGATGGAGTAGGAGGAGAGGGGGAAAGGTAATATATGTGTTCGTCCAGATACAACAGGTGGATCGACAACCGGAGGGCGTGTACACACTGTTAATGCAGTGGTCTCATCTAGCCCAGCATCACTCCAAGACGACGCTGAAAGCACCGATGCTCCGTGTCCATCCCCGTATCGCCCATTAAGGTATCGACGATTCGATTGAAGTCTGCTGCGGCCTTCCACAATCTTTTCGACCAGCGATCTTTGTGTCGGGGATCAATCTAGGTGCGATACACTGCTACTCTACACAATCAGCTCAACCTCCATCGCGTCCAGCTCTTCCCGAGGCCAGATTCGCGCCATCTCTTCAGTGAACTGCATCTCCTCGATATCAAGGTCTGAAACGCCTCTCAGTTTACACGTGGTGCGAGAGTTGGTGCGCGGACATACAGGATATGACCATGCAGGACTTGGTCCGGCGCAGTGGCGTTGTTTGACTGCGTCGACGTCGCCAATATGGTGTCATTCGGATACGCGTCTCCCGGGTCGGATAGAGCAGCTTCAACTTCTCGAGGCTGAGTGTTTGTGAGACGGTCGATGTCGACTGAGGATCAATGTCTCCCACGTACCCCTGCTGCCGCCGCCGTATTCGTCGTTCTCGAGGATGATCCAGTCCGAGGATCTCCATTCCTGCGCAGATTTGGAGGACTGCTGCTTGCTCCAGGCAAGCTCGGATGACGGGAGGTGTGGAAAGGTCGGCAGGGGTCATGTTGGTGTCTGTCGAGTAAACGGGAGCAAGGTGTAGTTTATATAAGGGCGTGGGCGAAGGGCGTGGGCGGTGCGGATCGACATGCGGTCGGGGGCTGCTCATTGCTCACCTGGCACGATCAGCGTGTTCTCTGATCCCCCACTCAGTAGACCAGCGGAACGAGGCATACACGTGGTGCGATGTATTGCAAGTGGATCTGCGTTTGTACTTCCTCTCAGTGGCTGGGATTAAGGTCTACGCGCTCATTGAATATTCATCAATACGGGGGCAAACGGGGGACCTAGATTAAATTACGGTGCAAACTATCACGAGGATACAGTAAGTACATTGGTCGAGGTAAGTTCCATGCGGCATAAACGAGACGCTCCAGAGCCCTTGAACCGCAAGAATCGAAATATCCCCTTCACGCCCAACCTCCCAAGGAAGAGGCCGCCGACGAATGTGTGGTTAGCGGGGCTCGGAGGACACGCATGGGAGGCGTAGGTCTCCAGTGCGGGTCAGAGGTCCGATAAACTGGGGGGTTGTGTGGCTTTGGATCAGGGAACGATGGAGTGTAACCAGTCACATCGTCGCCAGACATCGCATACGAATTCGAGCCGAAGGGCATACCGATGGGTTTGCCAGGTTGGATGAGGTCATCCCCTTCGTACGACATCGGCTCGTCGAAATGAGGTTGGGGGAACAGCAAGGAACCACTGGGAGCGGAATCGAAGAACTCCGAATCTGGAGAAGGCATACCCACCGAGCCCTGGTCACTCAAAGCGGGTGTCAGCGGCGTGGAATCGTCCGACGAAATGCGCTTAGGAGGCTGCGGGATGAAATCCGTTGGCTGACGCAGCAGCGGAGGCCGATTGGCCTGGTTGGCCGACAGCAACGGCGCAGGCGGGCCCCGCTGAGGCTCACGAGTGGATAGGAATGGAATGTGCTGGCTGATAGACTGCCGAAATGCCGCTGCGTTCCAGCCGCCTTCGTCCGATCTCTGGAGAAGATGGGTGATGTAATCGACCGGATTCGCCTCTTGCTTGATTGCGTCACAGGCGAGCGCAGCGCTGGAGAAGTTTCTTTCGAGCTTGTTGGCCAGTTTCTCGCGGTACTCCGGCCAACGTCCTCTGAAGACTGGACGGAGTTCTGCATCCAAAAAGGCCGTGATATCCTCCGCAGTTTGCTTGTCCTCGATCTCATTGTGCAGATCCCAGTGTTCGATATTAGTGCCCTCCCGACAGAGCATGCGAGAGATGTCAGGACTGGGTCGGGTGGTGATCAGGATACGGAAGTTGGCAGGAAGTTTGGTGAGCTTCGTGGACAGTATCGACAGCAATTCCCTGCGTTCCTGAGAACCTTCAGAACCACATTGTTCCAACCCGTCAACGACGATCAACATCGGCCCAAAATACACGGGCGCGTTCTCGGAACCAGTGGCAGGCAGAAACATGAATTTGTCGAACTGCTCCTGAAGAGACGCGGTGCGTTGTATCGCTCGGACCCCGACGGTCCTCGAGAGCGAATTCCTCCAAGCTGTGTCGAAGTCCGCCAGATCACGAGTGATAGTCGGGAACAGCTTTAGAACGACTTCTGGGTCTCCAGACAGCAGCGGAGGGAGAAAACAGGATGACCCTAGACGCTTCATTTCATCGAAGGTGCGCGCAACAGTGTGCGCGATCGCCGTTTTACCGAACCCAGCTTCAGCAGTGAGCACCAACGTCCGTGGCTTGTCGCGGTCGTTCACCCAATCCACGATCTTGTCCCGTATCGTTACCCGAGTTCCTGGTAAGCATGTGCGGTTCTGATTGAAGCGGATTCCCCAATGTATGGCAGTCCGTCTAGGTCTATCGCAGAGCCTGTCATCACACATCAGTTGACGCGCCTGCGAAAGAGAATTGTCGGCACGCACCGATTCGTGTAATCTCCTTCTCCATCCTGACCACCCTCACCTCGATATGCGCAGCCGATTCGCCGCAGAATATCGCTCTGATCCTCGAGAAATTGTCTTCGTACTCCTGGATCTTCCTATCCAATTGTTGGCCGTGAAAGGTTGAGTTGACCGTCCGCTGCACTGAAGTCATGTCAGCACTTCGACGAGCCTGAGAACGGGAGGAACCAACAAAGTCCTCGTTGTTTGTAATAGTCACGGATGAAGAACCCGCAGTCATTCAGCTGCAACGTCAAGATTTTGAGAGTCGAGGTGTGAGGCTGAAGCTCAGGTGCCTTGAGCTTGTTTGCAAGTGCAAAGGCGCTTGAAGCGGAATCCAAAAGCGACTTGAATCTGTTGTCTCGATCTGCTAGGGTCTCGAACACCTGGATGAAGAGCGTTAGCAGGCGTCACGGAGTAGGCACGATCGTATCACACCTTGTAGCCAGCCAAGAGCACCGTAACAACAGCTTTCGCGAGCGGATGAATCTGCAGCAGCACGTTCAGACTTGACACCGGTCTACAGAGAATGATCCGCACGACCCACCTCAGCGACGTTTGCCACCAACTTCACGAATATTGACACGGTGGCAAGCAATGCTTTCCATGCCTCGTCATCCATAGGTCTGAAAGTGGACAACGACCCTTCTTGTCGGATCGGAACATTCGGCCGAGACGCAGGGCGGTCGGGACGAAAGGGCTTGCTATCCACTTGAAGGGTCGCATCTACCAGACCAGAGTCGTGGAAGAGCTGCATCGCAGCGCCAACGCAGTGCAAACCAGGTCCCTTCTGCTGGCGGAGAGCTGCTGCACGCGTTTGTCGTTCAGCAGCAGACGGAGCAGTGTGGGGAAGCCGGTTGACGGTGAAATTGATGCACGCCGTGGAATTTGTCATCCGTCGTTCAGTGGCTGGGAGATGGGAGATGAGTGCGATACAATGCTTGAATGGAGGGAGACATGACATACAAGCACCCGACATAATAGCGTTGACAAGAGGCTCCGAATGGTGACCCCAGGCACGAGCCTCACGAAATGAGAGTGCAAAACGGTGCACAAATAAGGTGAATGTTATATGGCTTCCAATTGGAATGTCCCTGCCCAAATGATGAGTAAGGTACTGAGCGATTGGGAAATCGTACATATGAAACTCTTCGTCCCAGAAAGCCTTGCCCTCGGAGGTACTTGTGTCCGCAGTCTTCTTCCCGATACCGTTGACGTTGATGTCAACTCGAGCTCGACCATATTCACCGGGGACATCTTCGACCATGAGTTCTGGATGAAAGATCAATGGAGTGCGAATAGCATGCAGAAAGAGCGAACTCGAAAGTTTGATCTTGAGAGTACTGCATGATTCGTGAGCACCGCATACGACTGGTGAGAGAACAAGAAACTCACGTCGCCATAAAGTGCAGGGATGTAAGTAGATGCGTTCAGTGGTTTGCAGCAAAGCACTCCCGGCGCGATATTTGAGGCAGTCGTATAGACGCTCAAGATCTTCGGACTCCAGCTTGTATCATATCTGGCGTGAGATCCGTGGCGGCGAACTGGTCAATAGGCGCACTGAACGTCGTCGCCAAAAGTTTGTCCATAGGGGCGTGGAACAATCCGGGTACAGCCGAACCAATGACGACAAAGTTAGTTCGGTTTCAAGGAGGAAGATGTAGATAAACATGCTGCGAGCGCATGTCCGCCCGGGGAAAGACAACGCCGAATGGTGGAAAAGACCCGCTGACATAGAACACGCGAAGATGCAGGTCTGATAGTCGTGTTTCGTGCAGTGGAGAGTCTTAAGCGCCCAGGATTAGTCAGTGCAGTTCTTGAAGATGGGGAGCCATGGCACATTAGATAACGGCCCCGAACTTTCAAATGCTTGGAGCTCCAACGGTCGTCATCGATGGAGATTTTGATCAAAGATGAAAAGCCCGTGGTTGCAGAGAGAGAGAACAAGAGAGATGTAGTCAAGATATCGCGGACGGCCTACTGCCCTGATACCAAAAATAACTGGTATCGTTCCGACAACGCACCATCAAGCCTCATTTCCATCTGTCAGTCTTTCCGCCTGGCCTCCGTGCATGAAGATGAACATATGGACAATCTTTTGACGGAGCAGGAGGGTCAATCCGCATGCCTCGCAAGCAAGACGAGAGAGCAAAAGCTGAGCGTCGTGATCAGTCGCATTACCAATCAGGCCCCCATAGCACGTGCTCGGCCGTCCCTTTCGAAGTGGAACGCGAATTCTTCGAGCGCCTTTGTAAAGCGCATGCACCCCGTTCTCAACTATTCCTCGGTCTCAAAAGACCACATACTGTAGTGGCGCCAGCACCCACTGTTGTATTTCTCGATTAGGCATATTTTGTTTCAGGTCCTCCGTGGCATCATTTCCTTTCGGAGGCTCATGTCCGACAGTCAACTATACTTACCTCACAGCGAAGCGATCGATCGAACGAGTGCAGTGGGAGAACTGCGAATAGGCGTGACGTCAGAGATAAGCCCGCGCGCCCGAGCTTTCAGAGATATCCATCTCTGAATCGCCTATGGCTCGTGCGGTCTTCACCTGTTTCTCTCCATGCTCGCTGTCCATGTTGATCGCTACAGTGTCAGGCTACACTCGGGCGCTAAGGCTCCCTGCTGCTCGCACGAGGGCGCCAGATGTAGACCCCAAGGCTCCGTTGGACTTATCACGGACGCTCGTCGTGCTGACATGCAACCGGCAACGCTAATCTCCCATCTTGTGCACAGAACATTCAGTGCATATACGATGGCTCATGGAAGGAAAGATAGCGGACCATTGTATGGGCATAGGCGCAAGTTCTTCGCTCCCGGGTCGCAAGGCACTCTATCATACGGCATAATCGCTCGTTGCGAATGACCAGCACTCTCTTCCACGCGTCAGGCTTACCAGAAACGCAGCAGCTGGGTCTATCCCAGTTACTGTGCTCGTCCTTCCGAATCAAGCATGACTCATGATCACATATCATGTCCTTACTCGATGGATGTGATCGACTTGGAGGTACCACGATTGACGGAGGAATTCACAAAGTCCGCATCCTGAGAAAACTGACGAGTGTTCAGAACAGGGATGTGCACACTGCGTGTCCCGGACCGCCCGTGCCTAGCAGCAGGTAGAGGAGGGATCAAATCTCCCAAGATGCACACAGACCTGCGATCTAAGCAGTGGGATCCTCGCCAGCCACCCCATGGTGAAGCCTGAACGGACATAGAATCCTGTGGAAAAGGTTCCGTGTGTGTGCTGCTCGCAGACAAGGTTCTGTCGGCACTCCAGCTCTCTACTCGCTGGGCGTCTCGTCCTGAGATTTCCCACGGCTGATCAGCGCATACATCCAATTCCCCGCCGGTCGATGAGTCCGCGTTCGATCATCTGGACGTCAGCGGCCTCCGTAATGCTACCGGTGGTGGGACGCAGTGGGATTCGAGGGTCACGGCGAACGCACAGGCCGGTTCGTGTGAAGGATCTGGGACGCGTCGAGGCGAGCTTTGCCCGCGATCCGTGCGAGTCTGGAGGGACGACGCCTCATAGAAACGGTGGATTGAACAACTGAGCTGCCAGAATCGTGGGATCAATACCTAGACGGGCCAGTCGGATAGAACACAGTTGAATATAGGCTCATGAGAAGTACGGGATACAATGGAGTGGCGCACGACCTGTTGTGCTCGACAATGAAAGTGGACCATGGAAACTCTGAGGAACCCGAGTACCTGGGCGTGAGAAGATATCACGTCACAGTGAAAAGGCTGGCCTTGATGGAAAGTCATGACAAAACTCGAAACAAGGAACATACGGGGAGCGCCGGTGCTCTCGCCAAGCATCCAACCCTGTGATTAAATCGAAACAATTTTTTGAGATTTTGTCGTACCGAAATGACCAAAAAAAACACGACTTCCATCTCAGAGTCAGTCTGATTCTATGCAGACTCCGGCTGAAAACGCGTGTCGTCATAGAGCACGTTAATCAGCTGACCGTCGCCGCCGCTAGTCCTGATTCGTACTCTTCCGACCACCCATCCGACTCGGACTCCATGAGCCACGACTTTTTCACAATTCCAGGATACCTTCCTTGTTATCCTTGGCTCAACAGCGCGCCTTGTTCTGTTGATGTCGCAGTGGACTTGTGAGATGGGATCAGCAGGATACGACATCGATGGATTCGGCTCCATAGGCACGGTAGGTACAAGCTACTTGCCATCTACCATCTCGATGGCCTTCGTCAAATCGACGCTCAAGATACCCTCGCTACGTCCTGGGTGGGACCTCGATGCCTGGAAATACATGCCCGCCTCTATCTCTACGTCTGCTCCGACTCCCTTGCCTGTCATCGTTATGTACGGTGCTCTTTGGCCGCACCGCGAATTGGCTCACGATGCCATTATCCTTGCCACTACAGGGCGCACGGTTTCGGTGCAAACAAAACGATGGGCCTTGCGCTCTACGCGGAAGCATTCTCGACCGAGGGCTATGCTTGTCTGGTCTTCGACTATCGGCGATGGGGTGCCTCTGGTATGTGCTCGATTGCATGTAATTGTGTGCCTTCCTCATGTCGAACAGATGGGACCCCGCGCTCTGTGCTTGTCGTGCAAGACCAGTTGGACGATTATCGGACTGTCGTGGCTTATGCGAGGGCACAGGCGGCATTCGATGGGACACGGGTCATCATATGGGGATCTAGCCTTTCTGGTGTGCAAGCGAAATTGCTTTGGGTGAATGTACTTCTCATGTCTGGTATAGGTGCACACTGTATTACCCTGAGCACCGACGTCAGTCCGTTGCTCCTAAGCATCCATTGTTGACTGGGCTCAAAGACGTAGAGAACCGTGAACGCAGTCGCCGCATTGGCTCAATGTCCGTACACCGGAATGACACCGAGTCTGCCGCTGAATATGACTTGCCTCAAACTGGCTTCCTCTGCCATCGCCGATCTCGTCAAACAAGCTCTCGGTTTGCAGCCTGTGTACATCCCTGTCGTGTCGGAGTCCGGGACGCTGGGTGCTCTGACGACACCGGGCACGGTCTCTGGCATGATGGCCATTTGCTCTTCGGACGTGTGAGCATTCTTCATAACCGATACTTGTCCAGCACTCATCGCGTCTGGTAGTCCCTATGAGAATCGAGTGGGTGCATCTCCTTGCACGCGAGAAAAGAGGCTGCATCTCGCAATTCTAGGTATCCGCATCCTCGGTGCTCCAGCTACCGCCCTATCAGCCCCGCACGAAAGCATCGCAAATCTCCTGCCCGTTGCTCATCGTGCTTCCCACCCAGGACAACTTGTGCCTTCCAGACGGCGCGGTGGAGATATCGAAGGCGACGGATAAATGCGAACTGGTCTCGCTGCCATGTCAGTACTCTTGCATTGTTGCTGGCACAGGTGGCTGACATTGCATGGAACTGGAGGTGGGCACTTTGATGTGTACCATGGCCTGTCTCATCATGCGGAATCCCTATCCGCTCAGGTCAAGTTTCTCCAAAAGCATGTTCCCATCTCTGGACTGTCTTGAGGTGGGGACGTATAGTACATGTTCATGGATGGAATGTATTCTTTGATGGCTGCGTAGTCTCCATGGGTTCGAGAGTGTGTTGAGCCATGTAATCCTCAGTCCTCGAGTAGGGGTGCGTTCCTAACAGTCGAGTCCCGCAGTCCTAAAATCGCCCTGTCACCCAGAACTCAGAGGTAGAGAGCCGGCATCGGGGTGGCAATCCAGTGGGAAGCTTCAATGGGTCAGTGAGGTCAATCTTCGAGTCTAGTAGCCGCCAATCTCGACGCCCGGCGGTATCCTGTAGCGTTCCCAGACGCCCTTCATTTGCCAATTCGGCTTTATGAAATGGTGCGCCCACCAATATTGATTCAGACGCGTATTTTCGGCTTCCTTTCTCCGATCATTCGGACATCTTTGCATTCCTAGAGACGAGGAGCGGGCACAGCGGGTGCACGGAGGGTGCGTAGAGGCAGAAGACAAGTCGGACGAGTCGAAGCTGAAGAAGCACTAGGGAGGCACATCAGGCACACGTGCCAGATCCGGCGGCAATCTAACCTCGGGCTGATCGCTTCGAAGCGCAGGTTCATAACTTTCCCTCACTCGCTCTCCTCCTCCTCCCCGCTTTCCTTTTCCCTCGTCCCCCCTCCGCCCCCAGCTGCCTCACTTCTCCCCGATCCCTTCAATCTAGTTGCCGACGCGCGCATCTGCCACCCGAAGCCACTGCATATGGCCGCTCCGACACAGGAACTTCCGCCCTGGCTATCGTACACGACTATCACACTCCCCCGAACCACGCAGACGAGTCTCGTGGTCGAGCCGCTCACGTACTTTGGGCCGAGCATACCGTTAGGGAGCGGTTGGGTGTTTGGGGGATCGACGCGGCCTGACACACAGCGGACGAGCCGGACAGACACGGTGGCATCGGCGACGCCCACATCGGCATCTACACCGGCTGCGACTACCGCGAGATCTACGTCCGCGTCTCTTCCCGGGGGAGCATCCTCGCGATCGGCCTCCCATGCGCCTGCTTCAGCCTCGTCCGCGACCCGGACTTCATCTACCCCTGCTTCATCGTCCTCTAAAATTTTTGCTTCATCATCCACCGCTTTGGCTTCGAGATCTGCTCTGTCTTCTGCCTCGTCCGTCGCGGGCGCACCGTCGCGTTCGGCATCCGCGGTCCCTATCTCCTCGTACTCCTCCCACTCTACTCTCACACGGGGCGAACTCGCGGCAATCATCATATGCTCAATCCTTGGTGCTGTCTTCGTCCTATTTGTGCTTTTCTTCCTCTTTCGCCGACAGAGAGTGCGCGGAGGTGATCCTGTGAGTCTACGTCCCCTGACTGATACGCTCCTTCATCGCCACGCGCATTTTCACTACGGCGGCGTTTGTCTTTGCGTTGGGGGGTCTTTTTCTCTGCCTTCTGGAATGTTCTCGAGAATAGATTACATACTGACTCTATTTGTCGTCAGGATGCGCCCGCACGAAGACGGATAAAGTTTGCGTCGCTTCTCCCGGCGAACGTTCGGAGGCTGTCTGGAACACGTTTTACCATGGTCACGCCAGCCGTGGATGGCGCCTCGGTGCAAGACTTCGACGCGGACTGGCTGGTCGTGCGGTCCCCGGGACAGGGGCAGCCGGGACACGGCGCGACCGAAGCCGATCCGTTCCTCACGCGCCGTGACGTGCAAGCGGTGGAACAGCCGACTGCTGCCGTTGGGCTCGACGAAAAGCTCCATACCACGAGCAACTCGTCCCGGGTAACCGAGTCGTCCGGGACGAATCTCTCCGGGTACGGTGTTTTGCTGGACCGGCCGGCGCAGGGGAGCCAACCTTGGCAAAAGGGTGGCGCAAGTCTTCCGCTGGGGGCGGCGTTCGCTGCCCACGGAAATGGACATGGACATAGCCACGGCTATGGTGCCCCAGTGCCCGGTCGCCGGATCCTATCCCCGGCCCAAGTCGCCAGTCTGGTCGAAGAAAAGGATTCGTTGTCGATCGTCACCGAGGGAAGCGAGCAGGAAGAAAGTCACGTTGCCGTTGCCACCAGAGTCCCTGTTGCCTCCAAAGGTGAGTGTGGGTCCCTCACTTGCGAATTGGAGGTCTAACGCCTCTCGCAGACAAAGAACATCGGCGGTCGTGGCTCTCTCGCTTCTCCTGGACCAACCGTGAAACCAAGGCCGCAGACGAAGAAAGCGGAGTGCTGTTGTTCGATGCTGGCCGACATACCCCCTCCAACTCAATTTCATCGCCGATGCGCGAGGTGTCGTCCACCTCGGTTTCCGCCGCGGGTGCGTCATCCAATCCGCGCAGGTCAAGCCAGCAAAGTGGGGAGACGGTCTACGAGGACGCGCTCGAGTACCTGCCCACAACCACCGATCCTTTGGATGTGCCGGCTCCCGCTGCGGTGGTCCCCGTGTTTGGCAGTCGGCTTGGACTAAATTCCCCTCGAGGCACTGGGGCGGCTACCCCCGGAATCTCCCCTCGGCCCGCGTCAGGCGCGTTGAATCTGGATATCGACGATGTGCCTCCTGTGGCAGAAGGCGGCTGGCAGGCTCTCGGTGGTGGTGGCGGTAGCACGACCGTCGGAAGACGAGGAACCTTTGGCGGAGGCGCATCTGCGATGGCGCACCACCGATCAGACTCGCTCTCCTCTGGTTCGCGGTCAGGCCACAGCCATATGACGTCGGCGCACTCGCAGGAATCTTCGGCGGGTTCCGCCCGGATGCATGCTCTGCAACCTTCACGGTCGGTGGAGGGCCCCGCTAGCCCGACGCTGAGTGCATTCGGACATCGGGCCAGGAATGCCGACCAATCGGGGTCGAGCGGCTCGCGGCGCCAGGAGTCGTTGAAGTTTGGCGAGCGGACTGCCAGCCCGTTCCCGCGATCCCGCAGCCCGACACATGCGATCTTCTCGAACTCGTCCTGGGCAGCGGGTTTCGACCAAGACTGGCGTGCGGCATGATGGGACATTGTGCACAATATCTATCATCGCGTTTGGACGATCTGATTCATTTTATACCATCTACTCATAGAGGCTGCCTGATACCTGGCTTCTCACGATTGTCTTGCATACATATCTTATGTGTATCCTTATCCTCACATGATGTATTTACGTTCTTACGATCACTCACGACCCCCAATGCGATACCTCTTACGATTCATCTGCCGCTGGGCTTTGGCAGAGCTTTTGTCCACAACAACTCAAACTCCAAAGCCATTGGTCAAGTGATTCACGCAGCATTGAATCAAAGCCTCTGATTCAGTTACAAGACAAAACAGGAATGGAATGACTGAATATGTTACAAGTATGTACATGAGTGCCAATTGCTCCGGAACCATTGGCATAAGGGCAACAGTTATGGCCACGTAATCCAGTATGTGTAAGACTCGTCATCGACTCTTGTGGCTGAAATGTGAGTTCGAATATCGAGGATTCAATCTCACAGAACATTTCACGGATGCGCGTTCCTTTCTATGTCTGCTCCGTCCTCCTTGTTGGCATCCGATTGTGCGCCTCGCACCCTGATCAGTAATAGATTGCAAGTAATTGGCTGGGGGGATGTTTCAGCTTTCACTCCTTGGCCTGCGATTACGAGCCGTTTGGGATTGACGACCTACAATAATATGTGTCATCTGAAGCTAGAATTTCAGCGCTGTAAATGTCGTGAAACTGGATCTCACGCACGCAGAGAGCGTCTATGAACTCTAAGTGCCCTCCGGAGAGAAGTCCGGAGAGATATACGACCAAAGATGCGACTAGAGCAAGGGTGTAGATCAATCCTGTTTCAAAAAACATTCGGGCCACGCGGGTGAGAAGCTGCTGTGGCACAGAGCTTGTGCCGGCGTCGACTGAGCGGAGTCGCCGCACAATCAGGACTTGTTACAAAAGTTGGGAGGACGTCACTGAAGAGTCTAGCGGACGGACATACATGTCGTGGAGACACTTGTAACACACGTCAACAGCAACACCATCAAGATCAGGATGAACACGGTGGGACCGTTCGATGGCCTCCCGGGCGGTAGGATCAGAACAGCCAAGGCGCACAGCTCAGCCACTGCAAGGTTACCACTGATGAGTAGAAGCCCGGTAGCACTTGGAGGAGAGAATGATACCAGTGAGCAGGAGGTAACTGACGAGCGGAACCGCAATCTTCTTCCAATTGTGAGCATGCAACACGTAGCATCGATAAATCTATCAGCGTGGGTCAACGATCATGATCTTTGTGCGACGCCGTGCGACTCACGATGAGTCCATCTCCAACAAAGATCTGGGTCCCATTGGTCAGCAAGATCATCCGCTGCCTAGACCCGGACCCGTTGCTGTTGAAGAATTACGAGGGCCCACCGGGGCCGGTATACTTGACAAACCCTTCCATGGCTATTTGGATGGAGAATACCGCAGCAAGCGTCGAGACAAGGAACATCACGACGGTGGCCACCAGGACGGGAAATCTCATATCCTGACGGCGCTTGAGCTCGAATCGCTTTTTGTCCTGCTCGAGAACGAGTGACGCGAGCGCTGAGACGAATGTGGTGAACAGTATTCCTGTTCGAGGCTGTAAGCTTGCACAATGCGATGTGCGGCTGGCTCAAGCACACCATAAAGAATAGAACCGAAGAAAAGAGCAAGCAAATATTCCGAAGGCTGAAGTTGAAAAGGTGCCATGAAGGCGAAAGAGAGAGTGCGAGAAGAGACTACCTGCTCCCCTCCCGCACGACTTGTTTTAAAAGTCTAAGAACGTTCGTTGAGAACAGCTTCGATGATAGTATAATACGATGGTTCTGTGTGACAGATTGATTCTGAGCCGGTGTTGGTCATGATGCAGCATTTGATTAAGAGCCTGATTGGAAACGCGACACTTGTTGAATCATAATCTAACGGATGATGAACTCGTGGCTTAGCGACATAAGCCTTCTCAAACGATATGGACTGACGAGCGTAAGCGTGAGATTGTACACCTTGGTCAACAATTCACAAATAGTATATGTCAATGGCATATCCCAATCGAGAACCCTGGACCGTACGATTCCCAGCTGTGTTCGCAAGACGGATGAGTCTTGTAGTTGAAGTATGTTGTGATTGGCACACGTCCAGAAAGTCAGCCACCGTGTCCGATGTGCAGCTCGTTTTCCGACATGCATACGTAGTCCCGATTCATGATCCCACGTTACTTACTGGCCAGTGAGTCTGTCCCACAAATCGCATGGGCCGTCAAAGGAAGAGCTATCCGCCATCTCGACCACATCGCCCACCGCGACATTCCCGTTGTAAGCGAGCTTCGCGAGTCTCGGCGCACGAGGGTTGTGTCTCTCCCAGTTGGGCGCGGGCGGCTCCGTCGGGTTCTTCACGAAGTTTGCGATCAGTGTCTGCATCGTCTGCGAAAGTATTCGCTCGGCAGGTTCAGCTGTTGTCGCATTGTAGGTCCCGAAGATCATCGGCACTAGCTATGCGTCAGACGATGTAATGCACCGCAAATAATCTGGCATTCTCGTACGTTCTGAAGTGTGCCAGGCCCCGGCTCCGGGGTAGGCTTGTAGATCGTCGAACACCGGTCCTGGGAGGATGTTAACGAAACGAAACGAGACTGATAGGGGATGGAATCACCATAAGCATATCGATAGACATCCTTCAGACCGCCGTCCACGGCGGCCTGCGTCCAAAGATGAGCAGGGCTGCGTGGTAGGTCAGCTGTGGAATCCACCCCGCATGCTGATAGCATACCAAAGGAACAAGAGGTCTCTCGCAGCCGCAGCTGGAATCTCTGCGCTGCTCAGCGCAGGATACAGCTTTTGCACTTGATCCGGGGTGAAGAGTCCGGGCAGCATGATGTCCAGAAAGCCCGACAGATTGGATGGATCTGACAGCAGGCCCGCCGTGACGATCGTCCCGTCGTCCTGGGTGTGTCCAATAATGGTGGGCACGCGCGCTGTGAGTCCACTTCGAAGGCGCACAACAGTATTCGAGAACGCCGTGACGCTGGGTGCGCTCAGTAGTGTGTCACCGGAGGGAGCGGCCCGGCATGCTTACTTGTCGACTACAGGCATGAACGTCGGATTCTTTGGCCCATGTAGCGCAGTCCTGATATCGGAGGCGGATACGTCCCTGAGACATCGCAGTCTAGCGGGCCCAGCATCCATGGGACATCCGAGATCGGCCGAAAACGCATCGAATGTCAAATGACCGGTCCCAAGAGGCGACGCAGCCGGTCTGAGAGCCCCTGAGAGTAGTATCGCTCCGCGAAAAGGCGCGGAATCGGGAGTGTGTCGTGAGACCATGTCGCTCACAGACCACGATCCGGCGGATTCTCCCTGTGGTAAAGAGTTACATGATTCCCCGACGGTGCATGGAGTAAGCGGACGCACCATGATGGTCACTTTCACGGGGTCCCCGCCGAAATGAGCGATGTTCTGCTGAACCCAGCTCAGAGCCAGCTCTGGGTAAGGCATGAAGGCACTGATAGATGCAGGGTTTTGACAACCAAACCTTGATCCAAGAAGCCCAGGTTGGTCTTCTCGAGCGGAATCTCGGGGCTCGCGGGAAATCCAAAGACATTCAATCGGTAATTGATACTCACGACAATGATGCCGTGGTTCCTCGCCAAGCTCTCGCCGTCATACAGAAGATTAGACGCACTCCCGTAAGTAAACCCGCTAAGCGACCATCATCGGCTGGAGAGTATGGCGATGAGCTGACATGCACGCACCCGCCGTGGATCCAAAAAACAGTCGACAGATTGGTGCCGGAGGTGGGGGCCCATACATTGCTGTTCTCAATCTGTTCATCCATCACCCATGACAAGGAGTCAAGCTCACAGGAAGAGACAATCCTCGCTCTCTTGAAGCGGTGGTGCGTTGAACAATCCTTCGAAGAACGGCCCGTTCCCCATGAACTGCTGGATACACGATGGGCCGAGCGACGTCGATTGGACCGATTCATTCGAGGCAAATGGCATTGGAGGGTGCCAGCGCAGACCGCCGATCGGAGCTTGGGCATATCGCTGCGCAGACAGATCAGCCTCCTTCAGCACGGGGCACCAAAATCGAGCCAGTCTCACCACTCCCTTGAACATCCTGACTAGCCGGGATTCAGATACGTGCACGGCCGGGATATCTGGCTGCTAGACTCACCCCCATCCTGTTCCGCACCGCGCAGCAGCCCCGAAGACGTCGATATCGCGGGGCGTGTCCCGAACGGGCGGCGGACGAAGAACGCCGCTAGCAGCAGCGCGAGGAGGCTGGAAAGCAGGGCAGGGCGGGGGAACGACATCGAGAGTCGAGACGAGCAGGTGCTGACGTCGCGGCCCTGCTATATTCCTGGGAATCTGCCTTGGCATGGGAAATGTCGCGAGTAACCACGGGGATGCTTGGTGGCATGAGTCCCATATGTACATTCACGATGCTCCTTCGTTGGTGAACTGGATTCCCTCCGATGTCCGGTGTGAAGAGTGCGATTGGAACCACGACTCGGAATGATGCTGGTGCGAGAAGGCGGGCCGTAGGGAGAAAGTGTCAAGTTCGACTTGTCATGATAGAGCGGAGATCTGTTCCCGAATTACACGCTATTTCCCTCCCTTTGAGTGAGAGTAAGGCAGTGAATCCGTCCAGAGGTGTGATCAGCCACTAAACGGATTGAGAGGCCGGCGTCACAGCTTTGTCTCCTCACGTGTATACATGATGAGTCATCCACAGCTTCAATTTGGCGCAGTTGCGGCCACAATTCCATGACTTCTGAGCAAGCGATTGTGGCATAAGTTTGAACAAGATCGAAGTCGAAAATTGCACAGCGCGACCCCGCTACATTTTCATTCCGGCGGCGCGTGGAATAAATAGAAAGTGTCATCTCACGGTCGGATGGAAGGCAAGAGATGGCTCGTGCACCGGCCAGGGACACAACTGCCGTGGGCTTCTGAGCACGCTGAGAACCTCAGCAAGGAAGCTGTCTGTCATTGGACCACAACTCCACGAAGTCATCATCCACGTTTGTGTGTCCCGCGTCTCGCATCCTCTTAGGCCGCTTGGTCTGAATCCACAGCAGGGAAGTTTCCTCTCTGTGTGATCGTCTGTCGGCGCTGGGAAATTCCCAGTTGGGGTCTCGAGATGTCAAGTCCCGCAGTCGACGCATGCTGTCATTGGCACACGTCAAGAATGTAAGTCTTCGTGCCTGAGGTGCAGCTCGTTTCCCGC